TCTTTGCATGACATTGGTCTGCTTCGTCCAGACTACCTGCAGATAAGACCCATAAGTACTGATATTAATATATATGGGCTTCCCATATATATTAATGGATAGCTCAGTGGTAAGGGATCCACCTGCCAGTGCAGGAGATACAGGAGACCAGGGTTCGATCTCTGGGTTGGGAAGATCCCCTGGAGAAGGCAATGGCAACCCACTCCAGTATTCTTGCCTGGGAAATCCCATGGACAGAGGGGCCTGGGGGCTGCCATCCACAGGGTCACAAAGAGGCGGACACGACTTTAGTGCCTGAACAACAACAACGGCTACTGGTATAAAACCATAGATTTCATGGAATATTCACTGTGGATGACAACCTGAGTAGTATTATGGAATGGGAAATCATGTGTTTGAAATTACTATCAAGACACATGGCATGTGACAACTACTCTTTCTAAGAAAAAAGTTGTGGCACCCAGGTCATGTCCACTATGTTGGTTCTTTACTTTTTAGTCAGCCTTTTCTTATGGCTGAAGAATCAATACTGAAGATAAAATCTATAATCTCCTGCTCTTGAGAGTGTGCTTATACGTCAGAATACCTGCTGGAATCCAAGGGACTGAAGGATCGTTACACCACTCTAAGGATCAGATTATTAATGGACATAACCCAACTGGCATACACGAAGAAGGCTTATCAGCTAACATGGAAATATGTGAACTAAATGATGACTCCAGTCATGAAAGATCAAGAACTTCCCTCAGAGACTGGAGACAGTCAGTCTGAAGACTCAGATTCTGAAAACGGATGCTGTACTCCGGAAACTTGCAAAGGTCAACTTCTCACAGGATCCAGAAGTGATAGTTTACATCTGATAACTTGGGCAGTACTGATGCCAGCTGCATCAGAAATGATGCCAGGCTCATTTGATTTGTTGGTGACAGACAGCTGAGGTTAGATGTAAGTCTGCTCTTTGGATTGGGATCCTGAGTTGAAAATATCACTTCAGGGTTTTGAAAAATATGAATAGTGTAGAATATAAACTTCCTAAGGAACCTTTTGTGAAATTAAAAGATTGCATTGAACTTTTTATAGTTTTATTTTTATTTATTATTTACTTTTGGCTGTGCTCCGTCTTCATTGTTTTTGCTTGGGCTTTCTCTGGTTGTGGCAAGCAGGGGGCTACCCTTTATTGCCATGTACCAGCTTCCGTTTCAGTGGCTTCTCCTGTTGCAGGGCACAGGGTGTGGGGCACGCGGGCTTCAGTAGCTCCAGCTCTCGGGCTCGAGAGCACAGGCTCAGTAGTTGTGACTCACAGGCTTAGTTACTCCCCAGCATGTGGGATCTTCTCAGATCAGGGATCGAGCTCGTGTCTCCTGCATTGACAGGCAGAATCTTTACCACTGAGCCACCAGGGAAGCCCCTCCATTGAACTTTTTAAAAGAGAAAAGCTAAGTGCTTAAGACCGCTGATATTATGCAAATTGTCAAGGAGCCACTAAGATTGGATTTGTAGTCCTAGTGAGTATCTAGTATGTGTCATAGCTCAGGAGGTTTTCTAGATTATATATCTGGGACACAAGTTGGAGAATTTGGTTGATCTTCCTATCTTACTGATGACTTGGGTATACTGGAATTCCTAATTGAACCAAATCCAAGTCTGTGCTATTAGAAGTTGATTGCTGTTTCTAGCCACCATGGAGAGGTGAAGGGGGGGGGCACGGTTTGGCTTTTGCAAGAAGAAAATATGATGGAAAATAGTATTATTATTTAACTTTTTATTTTGTATCGGTCGTTGTTCAGTTGCTCAGTTGTGTCCACCTCTTTACGACTCCATGGATGGCAGCACGCCAGGCTACCCTGTCCTTCACCATCTCCTGCAGTTTCCTCAAACTCATGTCCGTTGAGTCGGTGATGCCATCCGAGCATCTCATCCTCTGCTGCCCCCTTTCCTCCTGCCCTCAGGCTTTCCCACCATCAGCATCTTTTCAGCGAGTCAGCTCTTTGCATCAGATGGTCAAAGTATTGGAGCTTCAGCATCAGTCAATTAATATTCAGGGTTGATTTCCTTTAGGGTTGACTGGCTTGACCTCCTTGCTATCTAAGGGACTCTCAAGAGTCTTCTCCAGCTCCACAGTTCAAAACATTAATTCGCTGGCACTCAGCCTTCTTTATGGTCCAACTCTCACATCCATACATGACCACTAGAAAAGCTAGCTTTGACTATACGGACCTTCATCAGCAAATGATGTCTCTGCCTTTTAATACACTGTCTAGGTTGGTCATAGCTTTCCTTCCAAGGAGTAAGTGTCATTTAATTTCATGGCTGCAGTCACCCTCTGCAGTGATTTTGGAGCCCAAGAAAATAAAGTCTGTCACTGTTTCCATTGTTTCCGCATCTATTTGCCATGAAGTGATGGGACCAGATGCCGTGATCTTAGTTTTCTGAATATTGAGTTTTAAGCCAGCTTTTTCACACTCCCCTTTCACCTTCATCAAGAGACTCTTTAGTTCCTCTTCTCTTTCTGCCATTAGGGTTATCTGCATATCTGTGGTTATTGATATTTCTCCCCCAACAATCTTGATTCCAGCTTGAGCTTCATCCAGCCTGGTATTTTGCATGATGTACTCTGCATATAAGTTAAATAAACATGGTGATAATAGACAGCCTTGACATATTCCTTCTCCAATTTTGAATCAGTCTGTTGTTCCTGTCTGGGTCTTAACTGTTGCTTCTTGACCTGCATATAGGTTTCTCAGGAGGCAGGTCTGGTATTCCCATCTCTCTAAGAATTTTCCACAGTTTGTTGTGATTCACACAGTCAAAGACTTTAGTGTAGTCAATGAAGCAGAAATAGATGTTTTTTTGGAATTCTCTAATTTTTTCTATGATGCAGTGGATGTTGGCAATTTGACTTCTGGTTCCTCTGCCTTTTCTAAATCCAGCTTTTTACGTATGGAAGTTCTCAGTTCACGTACAGTTGAAGCCTTGCTTGAAGAATTTTGAGCATGACTTTGCTAGCATGTGAGATGAGTGCAATTATGCAGTAGTTTGAACATTCTTTGGCAGTGCCCTTCTCTGGGATTGGATTGAAAACTTACCTTTTCTTTCTTTTTTTTTTTTTTTTTGAGAACTTACCTTTTCTAGTCCTGTGCCACTACTAAGTTTTACAAATTTGCTGGCATATTGAGTACAGCACTTTCACAGCATCATCTTTTAGGATTTGAAATAGCTATTTCAAATAGCTCAGGAATTCCATCACCTCCACTAGCTTTGTTCGTAGTGATGCTTCCTAAGGCCCACTCCAAGATGTCTGACTCTAGGTGAGTGACCACACCATCGTGGTTATCTGGGTCATTAAGACCTTTTCTGACAGTTCTGTATATTCTTGCTACCTCTTCTTAATATCTTCTTCTGTTAGGTCTATACCATTTCTGTCCTTTATTGTGCCCATATTTGCATCCCTTGGTATCTCTGATTTTCTTGAAGACATCTCTAGTCTTTCCCATTCTATTGTTTTCCTCTATTTCTTTGCACTGATCACTTAAGAAGGCTTGCTTATCTCTCTGTGCTATTCTCTGGAGCTCTGCACTCAGAAGGGAATATCTTTCCCTTTCTCCTTTGTGTTGGAGTGTAACCGAGTCACAATGTTGTGATGGTTTCGGGTGGACAGCAGAGGGACTCAGCCATACATATACATGTATCCACGCTCCCCCAAACTCCGTTCCCATCCAGCCTGCCACATGACATTGAGCAGAGTTCCTGCTGTACTATACGGTAGGCCCTTGTTGCTTATCTATTTTAAAAATAGCAGTGTGTATATGTCCATCCCAAACTCAGTATCCCTTCCCCCCAGCAACCATAAGTTCATTTGGAAAATGGTATTACTTTGATGACTGTAGCGTCAAGTGCATCTGAAGGCCACACAGTGTTGAACGCAGTCTGTGTCCTCCTCTGCCAGAGATAAGCAGCTTTCAGTGGAATTGGTGTTTTCCCCCCACAAGCATCCCGTTTAGAAAGTGATGAGATAGCAGTGGTGACGACAGTGTTACAGGGAATGGATGTGTGCCCCGACTCATGATAGTCCCTGAAGCCACAGGGGGCCCGTCTGTGCTGGTGTTTGTCTGTTGAAGCCATGCGCTTATCCGCCCGTCACACAGACATCTGAGATCAGGAGTTTCAGATAACCAAATGCAAATCCTTCATCTGACTTTTAATTTGTGCAGAATGTGAAGTGAGACACAGTGAAAGCATTAGTAGGATTGTCTCTTAATCCATGTATAGTGCTCAGCTGTGATTTACAGGTATACTGGAATGTCAAAACAAGATTACATTGATAGTTCATAATTTCATTTTAAAAGGTTGAAAGAACATTTAAGGATCGTGTAGACTCTGTTGACTGTTTTTCCTAATGCACTGTAGCTTCCATTTCCGAAAGAGGAGATAACAGGATGAGCGTTTTCCAGTGAGCTCCCAGCCTCCTTCACTGTCCCCTGGTGTCCAGCCCGGGTCCAGATGCTTACTGCTGAGATGGAGGGGAGGGAGGTTGTTGAGCGCTGCTCTGAGGCTGGCTGGCCTTTTCCGGCTCCCTGTCACTGTTGATGCGTGACCTGCCTCCTCTCTGGACGCTCACCCAGCCTGTAAATTAATCACTGCTCTGTGCTCCCGTGTTTGTGTATTCGTTTTTTTATGAGAGCATCCTCCTAGAGTGACTTTTGTACACGTTTATCTACTGAGCTCTTTTGAGGGTAGGGATCTAGTATATGCTTGACATCCCAGTGGCTGTTACCTAGGAAGCAATTTCTATGGTGACTGCCTCAAGTACTATCCAGTGTTTGTAATTTCCCTCCTATTCAGTGTGAGTGGGCTTCCTTGATAGCCAAGTTGGTAAAGAATCCGCCTGCAGTCCAGGAGGGCGGGGTTCAGTCCCTGGGCTGGGAAGATCCCCTGGAGAAGGGAAAGGCTACCCACTCCAGTATTCTGGCCTGGAGAGTTCCATGGACTGTGTTGTCCATGGGGTCACACAGAGTCGGACACGACGGAGTGACTTTCAGGGAGTGGATTCTCACATGTGCCACTGCGTACAGTTTGTTTTGGGCAAAGGGAAAAGTAGGAAAAAAGAAATAACTCAATAACTTTATGGGTGGGGGGAGGGGGGCGGTGAATAAAGACCAATGGGAAAGATAGACAACCCCAAGCATCCTCCACCTTTCAAACACCGGAAACCTACTTTGCAAGTAGGAAGGAGGGTAGCTTATCAAGGCTTCAGTGCCATCTTGTGGCTATTTGTTGGATCACAACAGAATTTTGCCTTTTATTTATTCTCAGTGAATGGATTACTATTTTGAAGCTTCAGCATTTAAAAAATGAGGATCCTTTATTTGCAGTCCCTTTTAGAATTTGTTTGGTAACAGCTTTATTGGTTTATAACCCACATACCACAGAATTCACTGACTGGATGTGTATAGTGTCTGATTTTTCGTATAGCCATTACAAACCATCATCACAATTTTAGAGCATTTTTACCCCCAAAAAGCCTGCACCCTGACTCCTTGTCCGGCCCACACATTCCCTGCCTTCAAATGTCTGCTCGGGCTTTTCCTGCATGTGCAGCCATGCTGTGTGCACCCCGTGTCTGCCTGCGCCCCGTTAGTACGTCTGCAGGGTTCATCCACGTCGACGCCAGTGCTTACTCCTTTTCAACAGCTGAACTGATACACTGCCGGGTTTGCCATGACTTGTTCATTTCAACTGATGAATACTTAGTTGGGTTTGTTTGGGGCTTCCCTGATCGCTCAGTTGGTAAATGATCTGTACTTTTTGGCTCTTTGTAACAAATACTGTTGTGAGCATTTGTGTACAGGTTCTGAGTGGGAATGCTGTCATTTCCTTCTGACATATACCTAGGAGTGGAATTGGGTAAAAATGGCAACTTAATGACTTAGTTTTTGGTCACTGCCAAACTGTTTTCCAAAATGGCTATGCCATTTCATAATCATACCAGCAGTGTATTAGAGTTCTGATATAATTGGAGTTTTGTATATTTCCAGAAAACTTTTAACAGGCTTTGAATTCAGGAAAGCTGTTTTTAGTTTTTGCTATAAGTTATTTAAGTATACCATGATATACTGAGAAAAAAAATTAGAGTTTAAAGCAATTACCCAGTATTACATCATCCAGAGGTGTTATTTCTAGAATTTATGTGTGTATGTATATACATACTTATAATTTGAAAAAAATCCATTTTTAACCGCATGGACATTTTCTAGGTCAGTATCAGCATTGTCTTATGAATTTGTGTCATTACAGTACCTACAGACATCAGGGAAAAGACATCATGAGTGTGTCAGATGCTTTTGACTTCTTGGTGTACACAGGGCTCAGACCAGGGAGGACCCTGCAGCCCTCAGACTAGGGGCTTCTAGCTTAGCCTTTAGTTTTCTTACCTAAAAAGCTAAATTACTGTTAATTTTGGTTAAGACACAGTAATTTTTCCAATTAACTTAAAACATTTTTTATTTTTAAAAAGCACTCACTGAAAATGACCGAGACAGCCAGTCACCACTGAAGAATCCTCTCTTGTCGACATCAAGACCCCTGGTTTTTGGCAAGTCCAATGGTATGTACCTCTTTTCATTACCTTCTGATTGGGACAGCTATTCCTAGAAGCAGAGCGTCTCTTCCTCAGCCTCCTAGGAGCTAATACTGAGACCACTGCTTCAGAAGCCAAAACCTTCCAAGGTGCAGTGTATTGGGTGTCTGTCCTCTATCCCCCCATGTTTATTCCTTTAATATTGCAGGGGTTATCCTGTAACAAGAGGTCACTCAGCTGTCATAATCTATTTGTGGACACTTTTTGTACGGACCATCTGATTGATCTCTGCTTTTCAGTTTGTATGTGGGATTTGCTTAGTGGAGTCCCTCATCCCCTCACCACTCCTTTCCATTTTCCTTTTGTTTTCATGGAATTTACTTCAGTTCAGTTGTGTCCACCTCTTTGCAACCCCGTGGACTGCAGCACGCCAGACCTCCCTGTCCATCACCAACTCCCAGAGCTTACTCACTCATGTACATTGTGTTGGTGATGCTATCCAACCATCTCAACCTTTCGTTCTCTTCTCCTCCCACCTTCAATCTTTCCCAGCATTAGGGTCTTTTCCAGTGAGTCGGTTCTTTGCATCAGGTGGCCAGAGTATTGGAGTTTCAACTTCAGCATCAGTCCTTCCAATGAATATTCAGGACTGATTTCCTTTAGGATTGACTGGTTGGATCTCCTTGCTGTCCAAGGGACTGTCAAGAGTCTTCTCCAACACCACAGTTCAAAAGCATCAATTCTTCAGTGCTCAGCTTTCTTTAGAGTCCAACTCTCATATCCATACATGACTACTGGAAAAGCCATATCTTTGATTAGACAGACCTTTGTTGGCAAAGTAATGTCTCTGCTTTTTAATATGTTGTCTAGGTTGGTCATAGCTTTTCTTCCAAGGAGCAAGTGTCTTTTAATTTCATGGCTGCAGTCACCATCCACAGTGATTTTGGAGCCCAAGAAAATAGTCTCTCACCGTTTCCCAGTCTATTTGCCATGAAGTGATGGCACTGGATGCCATGATCTTAATTTTGTGAATGTTGAGTTTTAAGCCAGCTTTTTCACTCTCTTTCAAGAGGGCACTTTAGTAGTTCTTTTTTTTCTACCACTAGGGTGGTATCATCTGCATATCTAAGGTTTTTATATTTCTCCCAGCAATCTTCATTCCAGCTTGGCATTTCACATGATGTATTCTGTATATAAATTAAATCAGCAGGGTGACAATACACAGCCTTGACATACTCCTTTTCCTATTTGGAACCAGTCTGTTGTTCCATGTCCAGTTCTAACTGTTGCTTTCTGACCTGCATACAGATTTCTCAGGAGGCAGGTCAGGTGGTCTGATATTCCCATCTCTAAGAATTTTCCAGTTTGTTGTGATCCAGTCAAAGGCTTTGGTATGGTCAAAAAGCAGTTTTTCTGGAACTCTCACATTTTCGATGATCCAGCAGATGTTGGCAGTTTGATCTCTGGTTCTGCCTTTTCTAAATCCAGCTTGAACATCCAAAAGATCATGGTTCACATACAGTTGAAGCCTGGCATAAATTTTAAGCATTACTTAGCTAGCACATGAGATGGGTACAATTGTGCGATAGTCAACTGGAATTCCATCCCCTCCACTAGCTTTGTTCATAGTGATGCTTCCTAAGGCACACTTGAGTTTGCATTCCAGGATGTCTGGCTCTAGGTGAGTGAGCACACCATTGTGATTATCTGGGTCGTGAAGATCTTTTTTTGTACAGTTCTTCTATGTATTCTTGCCATCTCTTCTTAGTATCTTCTGCTTCTGTTAGATCCATACCATTTCTGTCCTTTATTGTGCTCATCTTTGCATGAAATGTTCCCTTGGTATCTCTTAAATTTTTTACTTTGACTGAAGTCTATATTCTTTCCTTTGTCTCAAGGTGATACAATTGATTATCAGAAACAGCTGAAGCAGATGATTAAAGATTTGGCCAAAGAAAAAGACAAAACTGAGAAAGAGTTGCCAAAAATGAGCCAGGTATGGACTTTATTCTGTGCAGAGAATTTACTATTTTAGCAAGCGATTTCAGTGGTAGGCTTTTTACTGAAGCTGGACCCCCACTTTACCTCCTAAGCTATAATCAAAGGATCTTTAAGACATTTTAAACATTGTGACATTTAAATAGGAAATTAAATTTTGATCCATTCAGCTATTCAGATGTTCAGCACTCTTCAAAGGATGCTAGCACATATTTCATATCCTCAAATTTTCTCTATCAAACTCATTTACCAGGTTGTGATGCAGATTCATTCTGTAGAGCACTAGAAGCTATTTGGGAGACAGTGGACACAGAATTTTTCATATAAAAAGTAGTTTCTTGAAAATAGCTAACTACATATTACAGGGTACTGATGCGGCTTTAAGTGGAAAACCTCCCTTTATTATAGGACTTAAATCCCTCTGGTACTCCTGTGAGCTCCCAGGAGTGGGATTTAGCAGTTTTCCTTTTGATCAGGAAACAGTGTTGCTCCACTCTACTAAGTGGCTTTCAAACATTCATTCTACTCTCTGGATATAATCAGTTAAATCTCAGCATGTCAGTTGTACCTTAGTTATCATGGATATTTCTCTTGAACCTTAAATGCTAAATTAGTAGCTCATTTCCTGTTCCTAGAGTGACCGTGAAGCTTGTAGCTAAGTCCCACCTCTATTGTGACATAAAGATTCTCAATTTGGGCAGGAGGGTGTGTAGCCTGAGTGCGCACCAGGCACCATTGTTGAACTTGATATTCCCCCCTCACATTTCCAGAGAGAGTTTATCCAGTTCTGTAAGACTTTGTACAGTATGTTCCACGAAGACCCGGAAGAGAATGACCTGTACCAAGCCATCGCCACAGTAACCACGCTGCTGCTGCAGATCGGCGAGGTGGGGCAGCGAGGCAGCAGCTCTGGGAGCGGCTCCCAGGAAGGCGGGGAGGAGCTGCAGGCCTCGGCTCCTTCCCCCTCTTCTGAGCAGGACTTGGTGTTTGCTGAAGCGGACACAGGGCAGAGTCCCCAGGAGTCCCAGGCATTTCCTGAGGAGGCACAAGGGGACTGGACCGTCTCCCTTGAACATATTTTAGCCTCACTTCTGACTGAACAGTCACTAGTCAACTTTTTTGAAAAGCCACTGGACATTAAATCCAAACTTGAAAACGCCAAGCTCAATCAGTACAGCCTCAAGACTTGTGAAATGAGCCGCCAGTCACAGCCTGAGCTCAAGCTGAGCAGCCCGTAGGACAGCGATTGGCTGAGACCCATCTCCATACCAAAGCACAGACCAGGTCCCCGGGTGTGGCCCAGGAAGCCAGGTTTGTCTAGCTCACCGTGAGTACTTTACAAGCTGGGTACACACTGTGGCTGGGGGGCACTGATGCAACACCCAGCATTTGTTTAGACACTGTCAGTGCTAGAGCTAGTGTTCTGTCCTCAGCTGGAAGCTAAAATGTGAGAGATGTGTGATACTAACCAAGTTGAGAGAAGCCCAAGCACTCATCCTTCACTTGAACGGGGGAAAGAATTCACTTTCAAGATTTGAGAGCCACTATCTGTGCAATTGTATTTGGCTTTTTTTGCACTAATTTTGTTTCAATGCTGGTAATTGAAACCATGTTAATGTATTTGGTTGTATTCACTTTTGTGTCCTTCCAAAAAAAACCACGCTTTCAAATGTTGGCCTCCAAGTTTTTTTAAAAACAAAGTTTTCTATTGACTTGGTCTGTGTCTGTATCTTATTTCAGTGTCTAAGGTTTGGACTGTGCCAGTCTGGAACTACCTGGAGGAACCCCCGCCCCCCCCAATGATGTTCACAGCATATACTCCAGGTAGCCTCCAACCCCACTACCATCATCAGTAGGGTTTCAAAAGGGCACCTCTTTATGCCATTTAACCCACATCAGTGATGAAACATAATCCCTCCAACACCTTGGTTTCGGGCTAAATTTAACATAACGTTTGTTAGTCCTTTTAAGAAAGGTTACCTATATGGAAACGGCAACCCACTCCAGTATTCTTGCCTGGAAAATTCCACAGACAGAGGAGCCCAGTGGGGTCGCAAGGAGTCAGACAGGACTGAACAACTGAGCACAAACCAGAAGTAAAAACACCTTGTTAGATTACCAAATAATTGAGCTAAAAATGACAAACTATCTCTTTCATTAAATCTAAGACCCTCAAAAGCTACCAATTTAGTCTCTTAAAACTCCTGGGAGAGGGGGCCCAGGCACGGCAGCTGGGAAATGCTCTAAGATACACAAGCCTACTTTACCTCCAACTAGAAAAGGAAAATCAAGATGCAAAGGCAGTTCAATAACTTTATTGGACCATCAGCAATTAGTTCTCGTCCACATTGACTGTCTGTAGATCTGCAAAAGAAGTGATAGCCGGTTACCTTCCACACCCACAGCCCCCATCCCATGCTCACACAAGAACCTTTTCTGCAAGGGCTTAGGCAGGTATTCTGAATACCCTTCCCAACCCAGATAAAAACGCGTTCTGTATCCTTTTGCATTTTCCCACACCATAACACAACTTCAAAAAGGTTTACTGACTATGCCTCTTAACGTACAACCCTACTGGAAGGATCCAGAGATACAAGTAAACAGTATTTATTGAACAAATGAACTCAGGTTATAATAGGGCCAAGGATTTAAAAAATGAAGTAGACCTTACTTTTGAAGGTGGTGACGGGCACGTAGGTAACCAGAGTGTAGAGCTTGTTTGGCGAGTCTTCGTCTTCATTACGTTTTCTGGACAACCGCACACGGATCCGGTATGGGACATTCCTGAAAAACAGAACACACAGGTGTCTTGGGATGTGGAGGTGGAAACGGCACCCAATACAATACTCCAGTATTCTTGCTTGGACAATCGCATGGACAGAGGGGTCCATGGGATCTCAAGAAGTTTGAAATGACTGAGCATGCTTGGAATGTACGTGTCTCAGCTGGCAGCCCCCACTGCCACAGCAGTGACCTCAGCAGAAATGTCAGCGCCCCCTGTGTAATGTTGGCTATAGGAGCTATGTTAAATCCCAGGCAGCACTCGGCGAACACGTGCACATGTTAAATGTTCAGTGTCCCGGCCTCCCACACGCAGTCCTCCTCCTGGCTCACCAATCTTCTCAGTTCATGGGACACCCCCCTCCCCATCTCAAGGGAGCCCACAAACAGTTCCTTCATTAGACACTCCCTGCCATGACAGCCCACTGCAGGGCTAAAGTTCAAGTCCCTGTTGTTGCATCCAATCCAATGTTGAAAGACTACCCAGATCAGACAGCGCCCCCCACCCCACTTGTCTCAAACCCTCCAGTCCCCGCCAGCACCACTCACCTGGCTGGTCCCACTTCTACCCTGGCCCCGTAACTGTCCTTTACAGCTATAGCCACCCCCACGGTGGACACAGCCCTTCGGTCTAGAGAAAGCCAGACTCCACACTGTGACCTACAAGGTCTGTCTGCTGCCCACCCCATCCTCACTCTGTTCTCCAATCACACACACTGTCTACTCCACTTTAACCAGCCACTGTTCCCAGGTCATGTCTGTTCTGTGTGTGATGCGCTGACCTGACCCGCACCCTGCTGACTCCTTCACAGGCCTTAGTTCACACCAGGGTAAAGGGCTTCCCGCAGATGCTACCCTACTCCCCAAGCCACGGCTACACGATTTTCTTCTTATACCTCCACGTGCATTAGCTGAGTGGAATGCTAAAATCTGTCTCACACAGACACCTCGAGTACCTGATTCCTTTGGCCCAGACGGCTTTGTTGAGCCTGGTGTCGATGCGCACGTCCGGAGTTCCCATCTCCTTCATGGCAAACTTCCGGATTTCTTTGAGTGCCCTAGGGGCACGCTTCTTGAAACCCCTGAGATTCAAAAGTGAGTGAATGAAGTGAGTACAAAATTAAATAAAACACATAATGCAGTGTGTTTTCATAAAACAAATCTCAACTAAACCTCTAACAACACAGGAACAATTCTTCACCACTATGTCATGCCTGCCTATTACACAATGGTAATCTTCTATGCACAATCTAGTTTCAATAGTGTAGAACAAGGACTCTGTCTATGATCCTTAAAAGATGCTAATATATACACTGGTCAACACTCTCCTGATAAAGCAAAAACCCCCTCAAGCTCTGATACCATCTGCCAGAGAGAATATATAATCAAAGAATGTTAGAATATGCTTGAACACAAAGCACACGACACTGAGATAAACACATCATCAGCTTTCGGCAATCATTCAACGCGAATTTACAGGTTCCTTATTAACTTGGTCTATGATAAAAGACAAAGGACTTGAAATGGACCGGTTTCCTCTCAAAAAACGAAGGCAACAATTAGTGCTACGGATTTCTCAGCGTGTGTCAGGCACTATTAACCTGTTGTTTAGATATGGATACATAGATTCCTTGAATTTCATGCTTTCAGTTAAAGACAAAATGTGAGAAAGCTGAACTCTATTACTGGCTGAAATGGTTAAGCAGTTGGTTAAGTGAAGGCTATTCCAGTGGGGCAGAGACCCAAAGTTAAACAGATTGTGAATGTCAGAAAGAGCCATGTCAGCTACCATATCCACCCTCCCTCCCCGCTCTACCCATCAAACAAGCTCGCTTCACTTAAATATTTAACCATCCAGAAAAAAAAAAAAGCTACAGAGAAAGGAGAGGAATAACGAAGGGGGCTGCATGTTAAAGTTAAGATGGCCACAGATATTGAAGTTAAGATCCAAAGATGAGGGCGCCTGTTCAGCTACCTGTGAGAAAAAGCATTATGGGGGTGGTAGGCTAAGCTCAAACTGCTGCCCTGAATCACATACTTGCCAGCTATGATTAAGTAAGTGGCCAACCCGTGTAGAATCAGAACAGAACTCTGGCCTCTCAAGATGGCAACATGGGAAGCCAGTGGAGGGCCTGGGAGCAGTCCAAGTGTTTGGGGTGGAGGAGGGAACCAGGAGCCCATCAAGGAAACTCCTTGATGGTGGGACCAGTGTAGTCAGGTTGAGGAAGGCAGACCCAAGAGGACGTGCTCACTTGCCAACAAAAAGGGAAGGCTGCAGGGAAACTGGAAAGTGTGTGTGTGGGCAGCGTGGACACAAAGAGTTTGGTTCAGGGTTATGTAAAATTTGAAATGCCTATTAAAAAACACATGTATACATCTTAGCAGCAGCTGGAAATATGAGGCCCTAAAACTAGTTGCTATTACTAAGCATAGTTAGAGAAGGGTTGAGTACTGGACTCAAGGATGGGATGTGAGAAGAAACATAGATCAAGGAGGAGCAGCTGCAGAGGCAAGAAAAACACAAGAATGTGGAATCCTAGGGAGTAAAATGAAGAATGAACAAAGAACTGCCAATTGTTGCCCATCAAGAACTAAAAACGACCCATTCATTTATCACTGTGAAGGTCTTCACTTAAGGCTTTTGTAACAAAAATGCCTGAAAAACTCATCCACCTGCGCTGGCTCACAGCCACTCTATTCTAAGATCTGGTTAACTGTGCGCCTGTAAAACATCAGCCTATGACTTACTCTTCACCCTTTCCTCCGGATGCTTGCCTACCTCCTCCTCCTAAGCTAGGTGGGTAGGATCTTTTGGTTCCCCGTTGAACCCGCAGAGCCCAAGATAGACTTATGTGCTCCCCACATGAATCCACCAGGCCCCAAACTGAAAGACTCCACCAACACAATACTCCCTGGCTCACGCATGGTCAACACCTGGCCCCAAGTGCCAAGCCCAGCGGGGTCGCTGCCTTTGTAGGTCCCTCACAAAGTCAGCTGTCCAGATATAGGAGACCGACCAAGCCAGTCAAGAAATTTTTGCAGGGCAATGTTTGCTGTTAAAAGAACTCCAAACAGCAGCATTCAAGAAAAGATGCAGTCTCCAGTATCACTGGTCAGCACCATGCGCAGAAAAGAGAAGAAAGGCACCACAACCAAGCCTCCAGAGACCACCACCAAGAACCGGGACATTGGAAATCACCCCCAATATTCCTGTGTATCACCAATCCACAACCTCCAGGTGTCCTCCCAGCAAATAACTCCACCGACACATTCTTTCGTGGTCTCTACAACGGTTTCACTCCCAGCATTACGACGTTCCCAGTTTCAGTACCCATCTGTGTGGGTCAGGGAACTAAAGAAACTGTATCACAGCGTTCGTGTTCTTGGCAGGTCCGGCTTCAAGTAACTAGTGAACTTGACTACAAAGACCCAGACACATCAGCGTCCACTCCCGCACAACCTTCAGGCCTGCTAGGGTTTTATTCAATGACAAAGCAACGAGTGGAATGGTTTAATCACTACCACATCTCCCCAAGCTGGCTCTCCCAGAAACCTTGCTGTTCTATGTCCCGTTTCTAGGTATCAACCTCTGAGGCATTACCTTTTAAACCCTATAAACCTTAAACAGGGTCCATGGAAATACAGACTTGAGCTTTCGCAGGTTTAAAGCCTAATTTCTGGCCCACCCAGCCTTCAGGCTAGACAGACTCAGAGACCACCGGACCGTGATTTCGGGAGCCCCCAACAGCAGGGCCAGCTGCAGGCCGCAGGGGTACTCACACTCCATGGATGCGCTTGTGAATGTTGATGGTGTATTCTCTTGTCACCACCTCGTTGATGGCGGACCGGCCCTTCTTCTTCTCGCCGCCCTTCTTTGCGGGAGCCATCTAAACAAACCCAGGCGACAAAGCAGCTCAGGGCAGGTGAGTCAAACCTAAGTCAAGGCCTCCCTCCCGGCCCGGCCTCACGCAGCCGCCCTCGTTACGGTTTCCGGGGACAGAAAGTCCGGCCAGGTCCCTGAAGCCCCAGGTATGGGTAGAGACAAGCCGGCTAGCCCGCGCGGCCCAAGTGTCCGGTGCCCCCGCCCCGGAAACCCCTGCAGCTCGGGTTTCCCCAAGCCTGGCTTCTCTCCCTCTGAGACTCCGGGAGTCCTTAAACGCAGCGTAGATTTCCGTGCGCCGGGGACGCGGGGTCCCAAGTCAGCTCAGGACAGAGCCTGCAGTCCTGGTCAGCACAATCCAGGTAGAGGATGGCGTCGGATTACTGCAGGCGAGACTCAGCAGCCATACTCACCCTGCAGGGCCGTGGTTGGAAAGGAAGAGCGAGAAGGATTGTGGGAGAAGGAAAGTAGCCTCACAAGTACAACTTCCGGGTTACCTGGAGGTGGGGAAAGGAAGAGACGCTGCTGTGACGCGAGCAGCGCGCGCCGGGGGGGAAAGGCGTGAAGGCCTCTGGGGCGGGACCTCGGGAGTCGCGCTCTCCTTCGCAGCTTTCTGTCGCTGGTCCCCGCCTCCTGCGCGGGAGCGAGGCGGGGAGGGGTTTGCGGTTTCGCGTTTAAATCTTCAGAGAAAACGGGATCCTGGTCCCCAGGTGGAGGGGGGCAGGGTAGGGAGAGGAGATGCTCTTCTGTTTTCCCACTCGCTCAGTGATTCGGCCAGCATTGCCTGAACTTGTGTGCCTGGTGGGCAGCCCGGAGATGACCTACGCGGCTGCCGACCTGGAGGGAGCCGGGAGCCTTTTCCGGCGGCAGCGATCAGCTAGCTGCAGAGGTGCAGAGGGGCCTAGGCTAGGGGCGACGAGGGAGGAGAAGCAGAGGTTTGCACAAGAAGCGTTTCGAAGTTAAAAGCGCCAGTTTGTAACTGACTATATGAAATGTCAATTTAGGAGACAGTAGTTGATTAAATCACCTTAGAAAGAGTAAAATACTATGTGCAGTCTATTATATTGGATAAATCTATGATTTCGTGACCTTAAATATGTTTTTAGCTCTTTCACAACAAAATGACCCAATAACAGCAATGGAAGCAGCGCTGTTATCCAACACCTGGTGTAAAATAGGTACCTTGAAAATGAAAAGGGAGGAACCTGAAGCCAGGAGGTTGACAGACTTCATGGCCAAGTCCGGTGTCCCCATGCCAAACCCACGGGTTCAGAACTCTGGACCTTCCGTCTGCTGATCAGAAACTGCATTCTCTTTTGGAGGGGCAAGGGCATGGTAAAATCTTTCAACCTAGGAAGGATGTAGAAATTTTGAGGGTTGAGTTACTGAAACCCTCGAATAGTATTTTAAAACTGGAGCACTTATATGTATGGCTGAGTCCCTTTGCTGTCTGCCTGAAACTATCACAATACTTTTAATCGGCTCTACTCCAATATAAAATTAAGAGTTTAAAAAAAAGGAAATAAAAATAATGAGAATTATAAAGAATTCTCCAATTAGGAAAGAAAAAAACAAAAACTGGAGCACTGAGGTGTTAGGATAAGCCTGGAGAAAAACACAAGTTAGCTCTGTGATAGTCATATTTTGCAACTAGTTTTGATGTAAAGATACTCAGTTTTGTTGTATTTTGTGGGTCCTTGTACAACTTTTAAGAAATCTGTATCAGACAACACTTTAGTAACAAGTGTTAATATCTAATCTCTTTTCATCACTGGGTAGATTTTTTTTGGTAAATTCCTAAATATTGATTTATTTGTTGTTTAAGTAGCATATGATTAATAAGGGAAATGTTACAGTGAAAGTATTAGAGCCCGCCAGGCTCCTCTGTTCATGGGATTCTCCCGGCAAGAATACTGAGGTGGGTAGCCATTCCCTTCTCCAAGGCATCTGACAGGCAGATTCTTTACGGTCTGAGCCACCAGGAAAGCCCCATAAATTAGTAAATTGGACATTAAATGACGTACAGTTAGTGGTGACTGTATCTTTCCATGTCCCAAATCCCCTCTGACAGAAATGGACTCACCAGCATGGAGGATACAGTTTTTCAGTTGGTCTGGATGGGTGGGGTCTTGGCCGCACTGAAAGAGATGGGGACATTGGGAGCGGCAGGTGGTTTTCAAGGATTAAACTACATTAAATTCAGGAACTTTTTAAGTGTGTATAAAGTGGTTATCCAAGTTGGAGTATATATTTTAAGGCACGTATTATTTTACTGAATGCGCTGATGGGTTACCCTGCTTCTCCCATAGCTAGACATTGGCTGGACAGACAAAAATCCTAAAGAAAAAAGAAAAACAAAACAAAAAATCCTAAAGAAGGTTTTCCTTTTTTTTTTCTAATGAGTTTTTTCCCCTGGGAAAATAAAGGTGCTTCACAGTTACCACAAGGCTGTGTGTTTCAGCCATTCAGTCAACCATGTCATGCTTACAGAAGTATGCTGTTGTTTGTACTACTGCACATAGGCATTGTATGAAGTTCATAAGTGTGTATCCAAAAAGCCACACATGCCATTACTCTGGAAGACCCAAATTAGTTGTTTGTCTTGGTTACTAATGGCTGACTTTAAAACCTCCAGGCTTCACATAAAGTGAAGAGAGAAACTTAAGCAATTTTTTACCGAACACCCACGTTTTACCAGATAATTTCCAGCCAGAGTCCAACATATCATGGCTTAGCATGATCTCACAGTTGACCAGTTCACCTTATTGCCGGTATAAACAACCGAAAAAGTAATTTAATGGACATTAGTTGCCATTAGAGACAAGATATTACATTTTAGTGGATGTAGTTTAAAATATTCTAAAACTTGGTGTATTTCAGAATTCATATTTCAGTCACTTCTCATGAGCCAAGATTTTATAGTTTCTAAATAGAAAGGTCATGACAAGTTTGCAAAACAGTCTTTTAATCAGCACAATTAAATGAATCAGAAGTTTAAGAATTAAACTTCCCCTGACATTATATGGGTTTAAAGAAATTTACTCAACAAGAGTTTTCTGAGTTTACCCAGACTGTGAACATGTGTAAAGTTTAAGCAATACTAAATTAACTCAGCAGCATGACGTAGTCCACCCTCTTCTAATGGCTTCCGGCTGGAAAATCCTACCACAAATATGCTGTTTCCATTAAAAACTTGTTCTACTTAGAAATGCAGTTCTGACAGCCAATTAAAATACAAATTCTTTTACAGAAAGATCAGATCTGGAAACCTTTGAATTTTCCAAACAGTTAAATTACAAAACAGGTAATCTAGTGTTACATATAATTTTTGTTTTAAAAAGAGGGTCCATTTTGGATTCCTTGAAAGAGTAAATGATCCTAAGATATGCAAAATATTTAGACTTACCTTTCCTTCAGGTAATTCAAATCACAATTGTGTGAATAATTAAAACTCCTTTTGATGTATTTGCTTGGCAGCCTCTTAGGCCACTGAAAACTGATCCTGGCCAGAAAATGGAGAGGAGTTTTCTCTCTTTTACAGGGAAGCAGGTGGAAACATGGAGCTCCAGCGATGGAACAAGGAGAGGAACTTGGTTCTCTTGGGCCAGTGCTCTGCTGAGCATTGCCATCTCAGTGATTCTGTCTCAGCGTGCCAGGGCACCCTCACGCCAGCGTGCTGAAGCCTCATGGGATAGGGGGTGCCGTCTGCTGTATCTCCCCTACCCACGTGATGTGTGCACAGGTTTCCCACACAGACACACAAACCCTGGGCGCATCACTGATACGTGAGAGCTGGCAAGCAAGAGGCCATGGAAGCCCAGCCCAGGTGAGCTTAATTACGGGCTGTACTGCTTCTGTCGATAATGGCAAAGCCATCTCTATGGATTACCGATGTCTCTTAAGTTAGAGATGTTTCCAGGAACTTTTTCTGGTTTTGTCAGTTTGTTCTGCTATCATTTCTAAAAGAACCATTGATTTCTTCTGGCACAATCTTTAAAATAAAGATCAGGATCCCAACAGGCTGAGATGCATGTGAGCTCAAAAACCTAAGACCATTACCCAGATTATTGGTTGCTCGCTCCCACCTTTTCTGCATTTTTGATTATCCTTAGAAACGTGTTGAAATTAAAAAAATTTACTGACGAGAGGTATGAATGCATCAAAAACAAGGTACAGAAACTGCCTCAAAAGGAAATTGTACAAATTTGTTAATTTATTACAAAATGTCCACTCACAGAAATACACAAGAAAACTTTTATCCTTTTATATTTTGGGAAAGGACTGGTGTCTCAGATACAAAATAATTTACACAGAATCCATACAATTTTATTTTATATAGAAATAGGTCCTTATTACAACGGCTGTACAATTCACTACACTTCGTCTTATAATTACATAAAATCTTCTCTTTAGAAACATCTCAACAAAACATACAAAAAAAGCAAAGTGCATTTTTGAAAAGGAAAATCCACTCCTGGGTTTCGGTCAGGAAAGATATGTAGAAAGCTGCGGCATCCTCACTCTGAGGGCCAGCATGTGGGGGAGGGGGGTTTCCTGGGGTCCTGCCTGGCCTGTGAGACCTTCCCCTTCACAGCCCTTGAGTCCTGTCAGAATCCCAGAACGTCACCTGCAGGATTGTACTTTGCGTTGAGTCCACCTTTGTAGTTGAAATAGCTGGAAGTCAACAGGAAACAGTCCAGTGTTACATTCAGGAGAAGAAAAAAAAAAAAGCCAATCACCAGAATGGTGTGAGGAGAAGAATCTCATTCCATTAGGGTTTTGGCTGGGGGGTGGGAGGTGGGGGGCTGCAGTCTGGTTAATAATGTCCAGCTTTGCTATCTGATTGGTGGGCTGTTTTTGTTACTGGGGTCTCCTTTTGAATTCGGGAACCTTGTTTTTTTTTTTTAAAAAAAAAAGGAAAGTGCCTAAGTTATCTCCTTGTGCAGCTGTGCAAATTAAGACAGAAACGATCATCTAAAAATAATGAGAAAAAAAATCATCTCTTCTCTCCTTCCAAGACATCGCTGACCGGGTGCTTCTCCGAGGAAAGAGGGTCAGGAGAGTGAAGGCCAATGAGCACGTGCGCACGTGGCGCAGAGACTGGTCCACGCTGGGGGGAGGGGCGATCCAGCAGAGATGCTCGTCTCTAAGCTGAACCGCGTGATGCACTGATGCGCTCGGCTGGGGACTGCGGTCGGTCTGTCTGGGTATGGTTGTAGAGTGTGGCTGTGAAGCACAGGAAAAAGGGAAACAGGGCCAGCTTCCCTGCTCACTCATGTCCATGCTGGCCACCGCCCTTGGACATGGTCACCACCCAGGAGCTCTGAAATGGATGCGGCGTGCACGGAAGTTGGGGTGTCCTTTAAACTCTTCTCCCCAACTCCCTGGCCACCCGCCCCCTCGTCTGTCCATTGGTTAAAGCTGATGTGACCCAACCGAGGTGCCCGGCCACTACCGGGGCGGCTGCTGGAGGCCTGAGGACTCAGACAGGCTGCTGACCCTTCGGGCTGGGCGCGCGGGCCCCGGCGTTGGGTAGCCCAGGGTCCCTGGCTGTTGCGAGTAGGTGGAGAGAAGGAGGGAGTCCTGTTGCTCACTGTGCAGAGAGGTTGGCACCTGCACCTGGAAAGAAAGGAACCAGCTCCAGGGAAGGTTCTGGGATTCAGGGACTCCTTCCCTAAATGGCTGGGGTGGTGATGTAATCCTCCTCAGATTAACCCACTCCAGTACTCTTGCCTGGAAAATCCCATGGAGGGAGGAGCCTGGTGGGCTGCAGTCCGTGGGGTCGCCAAGAGTCGACACGACTAAGCGACTTCACTTTCATTTTTCACTTTCATGCATTGGAGAAGGAAATGGCAACCCACTCCTGTGTTCTTGCCTGGAGAATCCCAAGGACGGGGGAGCCTTGTGGGCTGCCGTCTATGGGGTCGCACAGAATCAGACACGACTGAAGTGACTTAGCAATAGCAGCTCCCCCGCCTGGGGACCTGGGGGAAAGGAAGCCCAGCTCTCAGGCCAGCACTAGGGGTTCCTCCTGGCCCAGTGGCCAGGGGCCTAGGCTGCAGGAAATGGTTTCTTGAACACACGCACAGGAGCCCCCATGTAGCCTGTGTGGTATTGGATGCTGGAACCTGACACCACATGTACATCATTGCTGGCACAGCATCCAAAAAGGCCTGCAGTCCACATACTTTTCACTTGGTTCCTATTTCCAGAATCACTTCCAAATACTCCCATCTGCCAGGAAGCATCCTAATTTGAAGCTCAGAAACTCAATGGGTTTTCCTGGTGCCTCAGCTGGTAAAGAGTCCACCTGCAGTGCAGGAGACCTGGGTTGGGAAGATCCCCTGGAGAAGGGCATAGTAACCCAGTCCAGCATCCTCGAAGCCTAGAAAATCCCATGGACAGAGGAGCCTGGGGTTGGGGCTACAGTCCACAGAGCCTCAAAGAGTCAGACACAACTGAACAACTGACACACTTTAGCTGGTCAAACACTAACTCTGGAATCTTCAGTCTCACCTCGCACTATTCCCAGCCATGAAATCTCCCCTCCAAGGAACCCAGTCCACCGTTTCCAAAGCTGCGCAAGACACATCTGCCGCTCTGCCTCATCTCAGGCTGCCTCTGTTGTTGAAACGTTGTCCCCCTGACATCTCACACTCAGCCATCTACACTTGGAGTGTTTCGGTCCCCACTCCTCGGCCTTTTTTGACCTCGGCCCCCCAGCCCCACTGCTCCACTGGTGCTGACCCAGACCTGGCAGCCCTCTGTGATGTCCCCTGTCCCCCTGTGCTCAAGGCCCCTGAGTGCTCCTTGCATCCTTAGCCCTGCATCTGGGTGGAACAGGCACCTGCAAGCACGCTGGTGGCTCCCGATGAAGGAACAGATGGGCGGCCTCCAGCTCTCCCTCTGACTTCTCCCTGCTTCTCCCCTCATCAATTCCCATCCCAGATCACTCCAGGGTCCTGCAGGCTGACCAGGGAGCAAAGCTGAGGTTCAGCATTAACTCCCACTAAGACGTGGTGTCAGGGAGATCTGAAAACTATGCCATAGCTGGTTTAGCTACTTTGAAATTCAATTACAATCTAGAACTCGAGGAGGACTCTGCATCTTGGGCACCCCACACATTCACCTATTGCTTAAAGGATGCCCAAGTGGGGCAGGCGGGGGCAGGGGAGCAAAACCTACACTGTGCCTCGTGGTAGGGGCTTGAGGCTGTGGAGGAGGCCCCACTGGACAGGGTCAGCTGGGACAGGAAGGGGTACATGGCATGTGTGGGAGGGAAGGCCAGACCCCGAGCAGATACTTCTGTCCCACCTGAACCCCCAGCCACTGGCTCACACCCCTTCCTTCCAGTGCATGTGGCACTTGCTTAAGGTAAGAAGTGACCACAAGATTACATAAATAGAATGGACTATTACTCAGCCATTAAAAAGAATGAAATAATGCCATTTGCAGCAACATGGATGGGCCTAGAGAGTGTCATACTGAGTGAAGTAAGTCAGAGAAGGAGAAATACTGTATGACATCTGTTATATGTGGAATCTAAAAAGAAATTATATAAATTAACTTATTTACAAAATAGAAACAGACTCACAGACGTAAAAGAGAAGGAACTTATGGTCCCCAGGGGGGATGAAGGGAGAGAAGGGATAGTTAGGGAGTTAAGGATGAACATGTGCACATGGCTGCATTTAAAATGGATATCCAACAAGGTCCTACTGTACAGCACAGGGAACTCTGCTCATTGTTAAGTGGCAGCCTGGAGGGGGTAGGAGTTGGGGAAGAATGGATATATGTATACGTATGGCTGAATCCCTTTGCGGCCCACCTGAAACTATCACAACATTGTTAATCAGCTATACTCCAACGTAAAATAAAACGTTAAAAAAAAAAAGAAGTGACCACAAAGAAATATGTCCCACATTTTCCTGGAAAGCCTCAAATTCATGCAATGTTATCTCATTCATTTAAAGGACGTTTGATGAATCTTTAAATTTGATAAAATTTTCCACTTGTATGAGATACTGCATATAAACATACCAACAAGTCCAACAAACATGGCAATCAGTGTCTGATTTTTGCTCTAAGAAAGTGTAGACACCATAATAAAAATTACTTTTTAAAAAATGGACCTTCCTAGCGCATAACCACAAGAGGCAAAATAGCTGCTTCTGTTTCTCACATGTATATACATAGACTTTATCAACTTGGAGCATGATAAACTTTAGAAATGATAAATTTCAAATATGAATCTGTCTGAGGCTTATTTTGATACTGACGCCTAGAACCCCGTTGAAAGCCCGGAACAGAAGGAAGGGCCCATGAGGCCTGGGCTGGGGGCTCGGCCCTGCCTCCCCCTCCCCAGGCGCAGCCCAGCCCCACCTGAAGAAAGTGCGGAGGCTGTGGCTGGGCCTGTGCAGGCTTCAGGGGTGACGGCTGGGAGGTGGGGAAGCTGGGGTGCAGCCCCATCAGCAGGACAGGGGTGGAGGCGCCGCTGGTGGTATGCACATCCGGGTTCTGAAACACGGCCTGGCTCTGCGGATACCTGTTTGGTGACACACAGAAGAAAGACCTTTACAAAAACTATCGACATGACATCAAGGACATGGATGACAAGAGGAAAAACAGATGGACTTCATCACAGCTAAAACTTTGTGAGCATCACTCTATCCATGCAGTGAAAACACTGCCAGAAACAAAAAAAAAGCTGCCAGAAAACCTTTGCAAGTCCTATATCTAATAAGAGGTCGATATCCAGCTGTATGTAAATACAGTTTCTACAACTCACCACCACCACAAATGCAAATAACCTGGTTAAAAAATGGGCAAAAGGCTTGAGTAGACATCCTGGAAAGAAAAGGTACAAATGGCTAATAAGCACGTGAAAAGAGTCATTAGGGAAATGCAAATCAAAACCAAATGAGGACTTCCCTGATGGCACAGTGGATAAGAATCTGCCTGCCAATGCAGGAAACAAACGTTCGGTCCCTGGTCGTACCACATGCCACGGGGCAAACCAATCCCCACAAATGTTGCCATGGCAAAACTGGGGGAGTCAACAGCGTTACCCAGTCAACAGCATGCTGTTGGCATCATTGTAAACAAAGTTAAGGGCAAGATTCTTGCCAAGAGAATTAATGTGTGTACTGAGCATATTAAGCACTCTAAGAGCCGAGATAGGTTCCTGAAATGTGTGAAGGAAAATGATCAGAAAAAGGAGGAAGCCAAAGAGAAAGGAACTTGGGTTCAGTTGAAGTGCCAGCCCTGCCCATCAACAGAAAATTGAACTAAAGATTTACTGAGCATGGCCTTGCCCATCAGAGCAAGACCCTGATTCTCCCACAGCCAGTCCCTCCCATCAGGAAGCTTCAACAAGCCTCTTAGTCTCATCCATTAGAGGGTAGACAGAATGAAAGCCACAATCACAGAAAACTAACCAAACTGATCACATGGATCACAGCCTTGTCTAACTCAAAGAAACTATGAGCCATGCCGTGTAGGGCCACCCAAGACAGACGGGTCATGGTGGAGAGTTCTGACAAAAAGTGGTCCACTGGAGAAGGGAATGGCCAACCACTTCAGTATTCTTGCCTTGAGAACCCCATGAGTGTGAAAAGGCAAAAAGATATGACACTGAAAGATGAACTTCCCAGAATAGTAGACACTTCTGGAAAGAACTAGGGGAGTGTGACTTGGGGGAGGCACAGAGGACTTCAGTTGTTAGTCATATTTTATTTCTTATGCTAGAAACTGGGTGAGCAGTATTTGTCGTGTGCTTTACAGCTTTTAGTCTGTCTTACAGATCTTCTAAAAACTGATTTACTTTTGTTTCCTAGTTCTGCTTCTACAAAGTTCATTCTTTTAAAAACATGTTTTTCTCCACAGATAACAAGGAGATCGAATGAAACATAAGATTAATGGAGATGTTCTGAGAACTAGCTTTATGTATTAAGAAAGCCTGTGTCTTAAAAATGACAAAAACCCTTGGATGTTTTGATTAATACTGTTTCTAGAGAAAGGAAGAAGGCCATGGAAGCACCAGCACACAGCCAGGCTTAAAGAAACTCAGTTACTGCTTGTGAAATTAAGGGTTGATTGTGGACTTGTTTGCAAGGAAAATTCTGGGAGGATTCTGCTGCATGTCCCAGAGGCTCCACCTAGCCTGGCCTCAAGGGTGACTGGCATCTTGGAGGACAGGTTTATTGATCAATGGACTGTAGATATTTTATCATTTAATGTATGCTCTGCATCTTGAGTCATGTGGGACTAAACTAGACCGAGTTTTACAGTTCTTATTTCAAACAATTTAGATAAACAGCCTTATCTAAATGTCTTCCTCTTTAGAGTCCTTTTGTCTCATCAATAATCCTTGCTTTATCACTGAAGTATATCTAAATAAAAAGAAGTGGAAATAGTACAATACTACCCTTAATACTCTTTGGCCCAATAATCCTAGTATTTGAGCAAAGTCTATGTGAGATGTCAGGGCAGCATGTTTATAAAGATGAAAAACAGGTGACCTGCAACAGGGGAAATGGTGAAAATAAATATAGTACACTTACAGAATTATGGAGCTTCCCTGGTGGCTCAGTGGTAAAGAACCCATCTGCAATGCAGGAGACGTGGTATGATTCGTGGGTTGGGAAGATCCCCTGGACAAGGAAACAGCAACCCACTCCATTATTCTTGGCTGGGAAATCTCATGGACAGAGAGGACTGGTGGACTACAGATCATGGGGTTGCAAAGACTCAGACACAACTTAGTGATTAAACAACCAGATAGAATTATATTTTATATTGTCACTGAAGATGTTTTTTACAAAAATGATTCAATGACATGGGAAAGCCTATATTATTAAATGAAAAGAATTTGATTGTAACTTTATTAAATATCTATCTAGTAATCAATGAAATATTTACAAACATTAATGCTTATTTTCTTATTTATACTCATTGTAATTTTCCAAACTTTCCCTGATGTGTATTATAGTTTTGCCTTTTTAAATAAGAGAAAAGGTGCTAAATTTAAGAAAATAACAAGGAAATGGAAGCATATTATGCACTGAAAGAAAAGTAGTCACAGACTTAACATTTTNTGCTGCAGTCCATGGGGTCTCAAAGAGTCAGACACGACTGAGGGACTGAACTGAACTGAAACCACTCCAGTGTACCACAACTCTGGAACCTGTGTGCTGCCAACACTGAGCCTCATGCCCGTGAGCCCGCATGCTGCCAGGAGTCTGTGAGCCTAGCGCCTGTGCTCCGCCGCACGGAGAAGCCTGGCACTGCAACAGTGTCCACTGCTCACCACAACTAAAGAACATCTCGTGCAGCAATAAAGACCCAGCACAGTCAAACAAACAAAACAATCAACATGAGGTATCATTTCATCACGATACTATTATCGAAAAAAAAATTGTACATAACCAGTATTGTTGAGGATGTGGAGAAATTGGAACTCTGGTGCGCTGTTGGTGGGAGGGTAAAATGGTGTAACTGCTGGGCAAAACAGTGTGAAGTTTCCTCAAAAAGTTAAACTTAGCATTACCATGTGATCCAGCGATTCTACTTTTGGGTATATGCCCCAGAGAAGTGAAAGGTGGGGACGGAAACAGTTATTTGTACATCCAGGGTCGTAGCAGCATTATTTACAATAGTGAAAACCTGGAAGCAGCCCCATGTTCATTGATAGATGATAGATGATCAAGGTGCAGCGTATACAGACAGTGGAGTATGATTCAGCTTTAGGAAGCAAGGAGATTCTGACACAGGTCACACCGTGGGTGAGCCTCCAAGACATTACAGTGAGTGAAACAGGCCCATCACAAAATACAGACACTGTATGAGTCCACTTAGATGAGGTACCTAGAGAGGACAAATTGATGAGAGACAAAAAGCAGAAGGCTGGTGGCAGGGCAAATAGGAAATTACGGCTTAATGGGGACACAGCTTCAATTTGAGATGATGCAAAAGTTCTGGAGATGGACGGTGGTGATGGTTGCACAAAAATGTGGATGCACTTATGTCAGAGCATTGTACATTAAATATAGCTAAAATGGGAAATTTTAATATACATTTTTTCACTGATCCTAAAAAAAAAAATAAAGAAAGAAAGAAAGAGTAGTTGATGATAATGGCCGAGTAACAAGGGGCATGCCATTTGGGAGAACTCTGGAATCCAAACCAGGAAAGAAATCAAAAGTGTTAGCCACTCAGTCATGTCAGACTCTTTGAGACCCCATGGACTGTAGCCCACCAGGCTCCTCTATCCATGGAATTCTCCAGGCAAGAAAATTGGAGTGGGTTGCCATTCCCTTCTCCAGGGGATCTTCCCAACCCAGGGATCAAACCCAGGTCTCCTGCATTGCAGTTAAGATTCTTTACCATCTGAGCCACCAGGGAAGCCCAGAAATAGACATTTAAAGATACTATACGGGGACTTCCCTGGTGGTCCAGTGGTTAAGACTTCACCTTGCAAAGCAGGAGGTGCGCGTTTCATTGCTGGCCCGGGAGTTAAGATCCCACATGCTTCCTAGTCAGAAAACCAAAATACAAAACAGAAGCAATACTGTAACAAATTCAATACAGATGTTAAAAATGGTCTACATATAAAAAGTCTTTTTAAAAAAAGATACTATAGAGAAGTCCATTTATATTTTTAGAAGTGTTCTATCTCTACATGGGTTTTATGGTAACAGGCACTGGGGATTCCAAGATTTCAGGGGCCTGTGTGTGTGGGAGGCAGAATGTGACCTGCCCTAGAAGACAGAGTCTTAGGTCATGTCTGGAGGAGATGAACAGGGAGATGTGGATGGTATAAATTACTGGGTTGACCGAAAATGACAGTTTAGATTTTTCAGAGGAAAGAATTTCTGTTTTTGCTTAGTTTCCTGCATTTGAAACATCTCTGGAAAGTGATGTCACAAGATTCTGTGTTTCCACTTATCTGGATCATTTAGAAAGAACAGTCCAAAACCAAAACCAACATCCCGCACACCCCTCCAGGCAACTGGGAGCATCATCAAGAGTTTAAAGGCAGTTTCCTTGTAGTATACAGCTCCCACCACCCCCAATGCCACCACCCCCACCATCATAGAGTTTTCATGGATGTAGGTATGGGCCCCAATCTTCAGAAATGCTCAGTGATCATCACTGTTACTATTATTACTGGAGGAGGACACAGGAAGGCCTCCAGGCGGGCAGCCCCCAGGGCACGGATGGAAGGCCCCTGCGTCTGGGCACAGCAGGCCTCATTAGCTAGCCCTGTCCCATTGAACCTCTGACGCAAATGAAACCAGTGTTTATATGACCACGGTGTCTGCTTTATTTCAAAGGGCTTGGAACTATTTTCCAGTGGCTTTTCAAGGATTCAGTCCTCTGGTTCCAGTAAACCTCTGTCCTTCGTAATGAAATTGGCTCAGCATGGCTGCTCCAGGTACTGGGGGTGGCAAGTGAAGAGCCCGGGGTAAGAAGAAAGAGAAGGCTCCATGTCTGGGGGACAGGAGGGCACCACGTCTGCACAGGGTCACAGTTCAGGGCCCATCCCTGGAACCTCGTGTGGGGGAATCTGCCAGCATTGGGCGGCCAGCCGGAGCTGCACAAGGGCCCTGGGAAAGGGGGACAAGGCTCTGTAAGACTCCGTTTACCTGGGATGTTACCCCTTAGACCTGCAGAGATGGGAAGACAGTGGTGAACTTAGCATGTAAAGAATTGTTTCCTTCAGGTCTTGTTCTCAGCCTGGAAAGCTGACATGAAGTTTTCTCTCTTGACACAGGAAATGGAGGAAGAACAGCAAAGGGGAGGAGCCCTTTAGAAAGGCGTGGGCACATGTGGATCCTCCCTGCAATGCCCGACTTGCAGGGAGGTGGCTGGTCCAGGCAGATGAAACCCTGCAGCCTGAGACCGCTCAGTGTGGCTCTCTGCCCCACCCCTCCCCAGCCTGGGCCACCTACTTGACTTGCCGGCCGGTCCTCCCGACCTCTGAAGGCTGCCTCGCATCACAGGATCCGGGCATCATGGGCTGGATGGGCTGGCTCAGCAGTAGCCTTGGAGCCAACGAGGAGAGAAATGGGAAACTGTGATCAGTACGCAAGCTGTGGACCCGCCGGCCAATCCGCGCCTGCCGAGCCTCACTGGCCCCTTTCTGGCTGGCCCCACAGAACCCCTGCCGCTCTGTTCCAGAGGATCCTTCAGGCAGCAGGTCTCCTCCTCTGGCCATCGAGACCCCAGCCCTGTCCTGTCACTTCATGAGCTGAGATCAATTGTAGAGTTGATTAACAAATGAGTTATTTACAAAACAGAAACAGACTCACAGACTTAGAGAACAAACTTACAGTTGCCAGGGGGAAAGATGAGGGGATGGTTGGGGGGTTGGGGATAGACATGTATGCACGGCTATATTTAGGATAGATCACCAACAAGGACCTACTGTACAGCACAAGGAACTCTGCTCAATGTCACGTGGCGGCCTGGATGGGAGGGGAGTCTGGGGGAGAGTGGACACATGTGTATGTGTGACTGAGTCCCTTTGCTGTCCACCTGAAACCATCACAACATTGTTAATCAGCTTCATGAGAAAAGCGAACGTGTTAGCTGCTCAGTCGTATCTGTTTCTTTGTGACCCCATGGGCTATAGTCTGCCAGACTCCTCTGACTATGGAATTCTCCAGGCAAGAATACTGGAGTGAGTTGCCATTGCCTTCTCCAGGGATCAAAACTGGGTCTCCCGCATTGGCAGGCAGATTCTTCACCAGCTGAGCGACCAGGGACTCCAATACAAAATTAAAAATTCAATTTAAAAAACTGCAGTGGATTTAGAGTCTATTTGTCTAAACTCTGCCTCCATCTTCAGCAGAGAGCCAAGATGAACAGTGTAAAACTATGTCTCAGTTACCTTTCCAAAAAGGACAGAGTCTATACCTGAGCTGCCGGTCATGGCTGAAGTCCGGGCTGGGTTGGCCCTGGGGGGCCTCCTGGGAGGCGGAAGCTGGCGTGGTCAGGCTCAGAGCCGACGGGAGCGCAGGGGTGGTGCTGCTAAACTGGGGTGTCAGGCTGCTCCCCTGAATCATCTGTGAGCTTCTCAATGGCTTTGGACCCTGGAGCAACCATGGAAACAAGAAAGGAAAACCTTCAGCTCAACTCAGGTGTTACCTCCCCAGAACCTCTTTCTTTTACCCGCTTAGGCCTTTCTGAACATTTAGGGCCCACGGACCATCATTATGATGTTTTGGTGTTATGACTGGCTTTCCTGTTGGACTGTAAGCATCTCAAGGATTCTTTAAACCCTTTGGGATTTAAAAGACAGTGCCAGGCTTGGGGCAGGAATGCCATTACTGAATCCATGATGGTTTGTTATTTAGTTCCTAAGTCCTGTGCGACTCTTTGCAACCCCATGGACTGTAGTTCACCAGGCTCCTCCTCCTCTTGCCTGGGATTTCCCAGGCAAGAATGCTATAGTGGGTTGCCATTCACTTCTCCAGGGGATCTTCTTGACCCAGGGATCAAACCCATGTCTCCTGTATTGGCAGGTGGTTTCTTTATTGGCAGGTGGAGCTACCTGCTGCTGCTGCTAAGTCACTTCAGTCGTGTCCGACTCTGTGTGACCCCATAGACGGCAGCCCACCAGGCTCCCCCGTCCCTGGGATTCTCCAGGCAAGAACACTGGAATGGGTTGCCATTTCCTTCTCCAATGCATGAAAGTGAAAAGTGAAAGTGAAGTCGCTCAATCGTGTCTGACTCTTAGCGACCCCAGACTCCTCCATCCGTGGGATTTTCCAGGCAAGAGCACTGGAGTGGGGTGCCATTGCCTTCTCCGTGCCGAGCCACCAGGGAAGCCCAAATCCATGATTACGTGTATAAATAAAAGAGGCTTTAGGAAAAGCTGGATCCAGCCTTCCAAGCTGTGATGGTCTAGAAGCAGGGGCTCAGAACTTCTTGAATCCATTGGGCTCAAGTGCCACTGATGGATGGGTGACCCTGTCAGATGCAAGGTCACTGGTGGCTTGCAGGAAGTGGTAATGACTGTGAGGGCAGGGCTTGAGAGGGAAACTGGGGGACCAGGAGGCACATGGTGACTCTGCAGAAAGGGATGGTAAACAGAAGTAGATAACTGTTCTCACATGTGTGCATGCATGCTAAGCCGCTTCAGCCATGTCTGACTCTGTGTGACCCTATGGACAGTAGCCTTCCAGGTTCCTCTGTCCGTGGGATGTCCCAGGCAAGAATACTGGAGTTGTTGCCATTTCCTCCTGCAGGGGATCTTCCTGACTCAGGGATCAAACCTCTGTCTCATGTCTCCTGTACTGGCAGGTGTGAAGCCCAAGCCAGGGTCAATAATGGCCACCAAGGACACATGTGTGTCCCCATATGTGGGGATGTGTGGCTTTCAGCATGCATGTCAGAGATGGCCATTTCTACCTCCAGCCAAACTCAGAATCAGAGCTGAATGTTCCAGCTGCATGATGCCTTGAAAGCATTTTAATATAGTGATAAAACACAGAAGGGAACCAGTATAACTTGGGACTTCAAAGTGACAAAGACAAGAAAAACCCCGTCATGATTATCCAGCTCTGGTCATAGGAGTAGATTTCTGGTTGGTGAAGACCATCTGCTGGTGACATGGCCTGAGTCTGGAGATGAGCACATTTACCTGGGTCGATATCACACTTGATTCTCTTAGCAGGTGCTGGTTCGTGACCTGGGCAGAGGCTATCTGCCCTGGAAGTTGCGGGCTGGCCACAAGCTGGGGACCTGGGCCGGACCTCTGCTGAAGCTGCTGCTGAGTCTCTGACCGCTGGGCACTGCTGAAGCTCAGGGATCCATCTGGCTGCTGCAGAAACATCTGGAAGCACAACAGAAAGGCTGTAAGGCTGTGATCACTGCCCGCACGGGCCCGCCCCTTCTTTGTATGGCCTGCCTATCCTGGGCACAATGGCAGCTTTCTTACTCACACTGACCTGCCTGGGAAGGTTCATCCACTGGATGTGGAGATACTGAGTGCCTGGGAGGCCACCCGCAGAGTGTGTGAACCAGAGAGGGGCAGCCAGTGGCAGGGATGCTGACCTGGCCCTCAAGAAGGCTCTGGTCTAGTGACGCGGGTCTAACAGTGTGAAAGATGCTGAGACCCAGGTATGCCCCTCGACATGCTCATTTAGTCTGTACTGGCTTGTCACTTTCTTATTAGAAGGAGAAACATCTTGTGAATGGAAGGAATAACACAATCATGGTGGCAGAGGGTTGGTTGACTGGTGGTGGGGGACACATCGTCCTGGCAGTAGGACCTATGCCCGGGCTTGAATCTCTGACCAGTGACCACCATCTGTACCCATCCTATGGTTTGTATCATCCATCCAGCTCCCGGCTGAGAGGGCAGTTCTGCCCTGGTTAACGAGGTGCCTCTGCATTCCCAAGAATGCAGGTAACTCCAAAGGATGACATAACATCAAGTCCATGAACTTTAAAATGATGTTTAAGAAAAGTTTTACAATCACCACACTAATATCTAAGTGTTATTTAGTATGTCTCAGACATTCAACAAGCACAGCTTTATCAGCCTGGTAGTTTTTTTTTTTAATTTAGTTTTTTCATTTGTTTTTATTAGTTGGAGGCTAATTCCTTTACAATATTGTAGTGGTTTTGCCATACATTGACATGAATCAGCCATGGATTTACATGTGTTCCCCATCGTGAACCCCCCTCCCACCTTCCTTCCCATCCCATCCCGCTGGGTCATCCCAGTGCACCAGCCCAGCCTGGTGGTTCTAATGGCAAAGGTTTAAGAGAATTTGATCCAGTTCGTAGAGTGTTTAAAAGGCTATGAGAACCTTGGTCTACTCTGTTCATAAATTTGGTGTATCCAATTTAAAACAGTTTCTCAAGGGCTTCCCTGTTGGCTCAGTGGTAAAGAACCTGCCTGCCAGTGCACAGGACACAGGTTCGATCCCTGGTCTGGGAAGATGCCACTTGCCTCATTGCGTAACTAAGCTCGTGAGCCTCAACTCCTGAGGTTACAAGCCACAGCTACGGAGATCCATGCACCCACAGCTTGTGCTCCACAAGAGAAGCCCCCGCAGTGAGGAGCCTGCACACCCCAGCAAGGAGAAGCCCCCATTTGCCACAACTAGAGAAAGACTGCTTGAAGCAACAAAGCCCCAGAAAAGCCAGAAATAATACAGAAATAAGAAATTTTTAAAGAGAATTCCTTAAGGGCCCAGAAAGACTTTACTTCTTAGGTTTGTAAGTCTGCCTAGCCAGGAACATGAACTGTCTGAAAGGTTAGGCTACATTAAATTTGTAACTTAACGGTTTTCATAATGAGTGTTATTTACCATGTGTCAAATTTATAAACTAGTTGAATGTGAACACAAGTAAAAGCACTGGTATTTTTGGCCATGTCAGTAGATTTTTAAATAAAATGTAATCTGTGGATTGATTGTAAAGGTTTAAGAAAGAGAACTTTAGTAATTTCTATCATACTTTAAACTTAAGACCTGTGACTAGCTCTTTTTAACAAAAGTTCCTCTTGGGCATTAAAAACTGGTATTATCTGTACTATGGGCTTCCTGGTGTGGTGGCCCAGACGGTAAAGAATCTGCCTGGAATGCAGGAGACCAGGGTTCAGTCCCTGGCTCAGGAAGATCCCCTGGAGGAGCAAATGGCAACCCACTCCAGTATTCTGGCCTGGAGAATTCCATGGACAGAGGAGCCTGGAGGGCTACAGTCCCTGGGGTCACAGAGTCAGAGACGACTGAGCAACTGACACTTTCACTTCCATTATCTGTATCAGATTCTTGACAAGCTGTATCCCACTGCATTTTTAGATCCTTAGCTCTGAGGGCTGAAAGACTTTCCCCTCTGATCGTCTAGAACTTTACCCCGAATTCCTGCATTCAGGGTGGCATAACCTCACACCCAGTATGGAACTGACATGCTGACACGTGCTGAGTGACAGGGTGGTTTTGGAACGACAGCTGTGGGATCGCTCCAGGCAGATGCTTAATCAGTTAGTTCCAGCATCTGCACCATAGGGTATGTCAAGCCCTGAGGAAGATGACTATCTAATGCCCCTCCAGCCACACCACCAGGCGAGTCTCCCCACTTTCCTTTCTGCCCCAACCCACCAGAAAAGCCTGCAATTTTGACTGAAGGCTCTTTGTCACTTTAGAAGTTAAGAAGAATTTTCTGGCTCGCCGTCCTCTCAGATCCAATACCCAAATGTTCAGAATCAGTGCTTTACACAACCTCAGCAAGCTGGCTGAGCACATGAGGTAATTTACATTACAGCAAAAACCCAGTATTTAAACTAAATAACAAACATTTTTCTGGTGATATACAGTTTACCTTCTGATTAGAGTTCAGACAAATGCAACCTTTATTTATGATAGGCAGTATCATCTAGCTTAAATCCAACAGACTTTAGTTCAAATTCCAACCCCACCACATACTAGTGGTATGAACTTGGGCTATTTTCAAAAACTTCAAATTGACTGTTAGTTTCCTCATTAATAAAACAGTACCATTAACACCATATACCTCATAAAAGATTTAATGGGATTTATGCTGAGGCATAACCCTAGGTGCTCAATAAATGTTAGGGGATAACAATATTTAAAATAAAAAAGGAGTTCCTTTTGCTCCTTTGCCTCTTTAGGCATACGAAAACTATCTGAGGACCTCCTTGGTGGTCCAGTGAGTAAGGATCTTCCTGCCAATGCAGGGGACACAGGTTTGATCACTGGTCTGGGAAGATCCCACCCACATGCCATGGAGCAGCTAAGCCTGTGCAACCACAACTTCTGAGCCCTCGCACCCTAGAACCCATCTCTGCAGCAGGAGAAGCCACCGCAATAAGAAGCCTGTGTACTGCAACTAGAGAGGGGCCTGAGCACAGCAAAGATACAGTTAAAAAAAAAAAAGAAAAAAACTTAGAAGTGAATGAATAGAATAAATAAACGAACAAACAAATCAAGTTTTGCTCAAAGAAGGGAGAATGTTTATGTTTGTATTAAGGCAGAGACTGCTGGGTCTGCTACTCTGTCCCATTGATGTATGTTCTCTGAGGGCAGAAACCTTATTCTGTTTATTCCTGTGTCCCCACAGTACCTAACCAATTGCCTGCAACATACTGGGTGTCTGCTAGATGGATGGATGGATGGCAGGGTGGAGGGGTGGGTGGGTGGTGTGTGGATGGATGGGGGGATGTATGGTGGATGAATGGATAGATGTGTGGACAGAGGGATGGAAAGAAGGGTGGAAGGATGGACGGATAGAAAGATGGATGAAAGAACCAATCAGAGAACACATCTGCCATCGCCACAGGTGTCCTTCTCTATATTTCTTGGCATCACCAGTAGAGGGCATGAGTACTCTCAAAAATAAATTAAGAGGTGCTCTCCCAAGGACGCAGAGGAGAGCTGCTTTTCAGCTGAACAGCTCTCTATGTAGCACCCTTCATGATCCCATCTAGGTGCAAACACCACATCCTGAGAACGTCTCCCTCATAACCCAATCTTTTTTGGAAAAAAAATATATACTTAGCAAGCATCTCAGGCCTACATAGACTCAATGAAGCTCCAAGACAATGGAATAGGTAGGAAAAAATCCACTGAAGTTGGGAATAATGGACCTGGGGGGAGTGGGGAAGGGGTAGGATTTGCTACTGTGCATATCCATGCCCCTGCTTTAGTGACTGTAAAGGAGAATTGTATGGCTTAAGAAGATGACTTCTTAACAGTGCTCTGGAGTCAGTTTTATAGAAAGCCTGATTCAAGTGGGCAAAGTCATCTGAGAAAAAAAAAAAACTTTAATTTTCCACCAAACTAATCCTACTGCTCACATGTGGTTTTCATTGTTCTTATATGCTTAGCTTTACACAGACTTATTATTACAGAACATTTCAGAAGTACAGAAAATAGATACTGTATAATGAAACCCCATATATCAACGCTAGGCTTCAGCAATTATCCACGTTTTGCTCTTATTTAATCTATCCTCCCACTTTTTTTGGGAGGATTGGAGTAATTTTTACTTGCTTATCTTTTATGCTTGACTCACTTATTTTTTTTTTTTTAAATCACATTTTGGCTGAACATTTCGGAACGTATCTCTTTAAATCCTTAAACGTGCAAAAATACATGAAAAAAGACTCTTTGAGGACTCGTTCTCTGGTTTAACTGTGGATTTCCAAGCTCATTGGAAAATTCCACTGCAAAGATAAGGTAAGGGAAGAAACCAGCGGAATAACACGTGGAGCCCTGCTGCCCACGTCATCACTCACAAAGCTCAGGTGCTTGACCTTGGGGGTCAACAAAATGTACTGTCAGGAGGGAGAAAAATAATAACGCTTCATACCAGCGAGCAAAAGAGATAGCCTTGTGTCCCTGTCACTTCAGAGTTCAGCTTTGAAAATAGAGAAGTCTGGGCTCCGAGGCGGATGTTCATCCGCCCACCTTGCTTTTAGCAGTTTCTGGCTCAGTGCCCTCTTCCTGGTAAAGTAAAAATTCTATTCAAGTCATTGGAGTCAGGAATTCTAGTCCCTGGACCCTGGATTGGTGAGGATCAAGATCAAAGCACTTTGTTGACCCCTTGTGTCTTCACATAAGTGCTGCAGTACTGTCCCTTGGCAACTTGGGGATGCCACTCAGGAGGCTGGGGGAGCACAGGGCTGTGGGCGGGGCGAAGGGTTATAGGCGGAGCACAGGGCTGTGGGCGGGGCGAAGGGTTATAGGCGGAGCACAGGGCTGTGGGCGGGGTGAAGGGTTATAGGCCGAGCACAGGGCTGTGGGCGGGGCGAAGGGCTAAAGGCGGAGCACAGGGCTGTGGGCGGGGCGAAGGGCTATAGGCGGAGCACAGGGCTGTGGGCGGGGCGAAGGGTTATAGGTGGAGCACAGGGCTGTGGGCGGGGCGAAGGCTTGTGGGCGGGGCTGACTGGGCTCCTCTGCCTACAGGGACGGGAGGGGCCAGGCCGGGCAGAGAGGGCAGCCCCGGGTTTAGAGCATAGGTAAAGCCCACCAGGAACATCTGTGGGGACCCAGGGAGGCAGGATGGCTGGCTCTAGGAGTCTCCAGGCTGCCCAACACCTTTGGACTACCCTGTGTTCATCTCAGTTCAAGGTGTTCTTATGTCCACAGGAGAGGTTGTGTGGATGGTGGGGGTGTGGGGGGTGGAGTGGACGGCAGGGTCAGTGCCCTAGCTATTTCCCTCAGGAGTCTCTTTTGCTTCTATCTGCTCCCGCCTAGGTGGGTGCCAAGGCTTATCTCACTCAGGGCAGACTCCAAGTTGGCTACATTTACAATCAAAGGCTAGGGCCAAAGAATGCTCTTTGGAAGAAAAACAGTCCTGGACTGATTTAAATGAAACTTGGTAAAAATAATTTAACCTTGAAAGAGATCCAATATATAAGGTTTTTCCCTCCAGAAAGGAATCTCCAGATAGGATTCAAAGAAGTGACATCTGGGGTTGGGGTGGGGTGGGCTCCAATTAAAAGCAGCTGCTGTCAGAGGGCACCCCAATTGCCATGCTGCAATGGGGGTGGCCTGGGGGTGCCAGGGTGCTGACCTCCAGTGTCTGGCTCCTGGGCCACCCCCCTGCAGGGGGCAATGGGCACAGATTCGTGTCTCCCTGCATTCATGTTTTGGATGGGAGCAAAGAGTAGACCATCTCTTTGTCAGCAGCCTGGGTTGGGTGCTCGGAGAGCAGTCACACAGGTGCTGGGGAGTTTAAAACTCCATGGCAGGGAGGCTGGTGTCTGTGCGGGTGACTAACCACTAAACACATGAAACAAAGTGCAGGCAGCATAGGAAATGTGTGCCCAACAGAGTGAGGGGTGAGTGAAAAGGTCGTCATGTGAATTTTACGTTTGGCCTGGAGCTGGGGATGGTGGCGGTGGGGTTCCTTCCTTGCAGTTCACTGGTAGAGGTTTCAGTTTGTTCAGGAGGCAGGGCACAGTAAGGCAGCCTAGTGAACCTTGGAGGGAGTCCTGGCTGCGCTGAAAGGGTGGATTAGGACACATCACACAGCGGTGGGGAGCACAGAGCCCGGGGACCGCTGGCCCAGTAAGGGGCATCACCTGGACGTTGGAGTCCTGAACCAGGCAGAGCTGCTCCTGGATCTTGTGCAGTTCTTCCTGCTGCCACCGGATGTTGGCTTGCAGGATGCGTGTCCGCTGCTCCAGCTGGTCTTTGATGGTCTGGAACATGCTGAGCTGTGCTGAAAACTTGAAGGTGGGGTCAAGACACAGAACCCAGTGAGCGCGCTATTTCAGCCATGCAGATGGATATTGCTGTTGCTCTGAGTGGCCCGTGAACTTTCAGGGCCTTTCCCTCCCTTTGCAGCATCCCTGACCCACTGCTGGGGAGCTTGCCCATGGGCACGGGCTGGATAAGGGTAGGGGTGGCCCTGGGACTCCCCTGTGAGCTTTTCTCAGGCCCATGAGGACCTGCAGGTCTAATTCATTGCACTCTCGTCTGGGAGGGCCAGCTCTGGGATTCATATAGACTGTGTATATATATGGGCTTCCCACATATATATATGTGGCTCAGACAGTAAAGGGCCCACCTGCAATACAGGAGACCTGGGTTGGGAAGATCCCTGAAAGATGGAAATGGCAGTCCACCTCAGTATTCTTGCTTGTAGAATTCCACGGACAGAGGAGCTAATGCACTGTTAGTCTGGGAGGGCCAGCATTGGGATTCGTGTGGAATGTGAATATATACATACATATATGGGCTTCCCAGGTGGCACTAGCGGTAAAGAACCTGCCTGCCAATGCAGGAGACATAAGAGACGCAGGTTCGATCCCTGGGTTGTGAAGATCCCCTGGAGTAAGAAATAACAACCTGTTCCAGTATTCTTGCCTGGAGAATTCCATGGACAGAGGAGCCTGGCAGGCTACAGTCCATAGGACTGCAAAGAGTTGGACAACAACTGAAGCGACTTAGCACGAACGCACATATAAGTGAATTGCTTTGTTGCATATCAGAAATTAACACATTGTAAATCAACTACACTTCAATAAAAAATATTGGTTAAAACATCTGCTCCTAAACATTTGTTTAAAAATATCTGCTCTATACCAACCGTATCACAAAAATCTCACTCAGAAGTCTCACTGATCAAAACCAAGCTAGGATTTTGAAAGAGAATTCGATTGAGAAAGAAAAGGTCTATCAGGTATTCAGTTAAGACAACAAAAGACAAAAGCTCCTGCGCTGGGTTCCCTAAAGTCTGGAGACTGTCCAGGCTATAACACCCATGTCCAGAGAGGATGCTCTGGACTGCCCCTTGGCTCCCAAGGGAAACAATGAGGCGGCTGGAGGCAGTCATCAGTGAGGGCTCAGCACCAAATTTCATGAGTGTTAATTACTTCTAGCATTATTCTTATTTTCCTAAGGCATTCCAGGAATCCCCAAACACGAATCTCTTGTTATATTCTTTCTTTAAAATTTATTTACATTTAATTGGAGGATACTTGCTTTACAATGTTGTATTGGTTTCTGCCATGCACCAACATGAATCAGCCACAGGTACACACATGTTCCCTCCTGTCCTGAACGTCCCTCCCATTTGCTATCCCATCCCACCCCTCTAGTTTGTCACAGGCACCAGGTTAGCTCCCTGCGTCATACAGCAAATTCCCATTGGCTATCTAGTTTACATATGGTAATGTATATACTTCCACCCTACGCTTTCAATTCGTCCCACTCCCTCCTCCTGTTGTATCTACAAGTCTATCCTCTAAGTCTGTGTCTCCACTGCTGCCTTGCAAATAGGTCCATCTGTACCATTCTTCTAGATTCCATATATATATATTTATATATATGTGTTAATATGCAATATTTGCTTTTCTCTTTCTGAATTACTTCACTCTGTATAACAGTCTCCAGTCTTGTTATATTCTTGATCATGGCCTTTTTGATAAAGAGTTTTATCCCAACTTAGAGACACGTTAGCAACACACCATGAAGCAAAAGCATCACTTACCCAGATAGCCAATTTCTCAGAGTTTGGATTTTATTTTATACTTCCCCTTTCCCTGATGGGGTCCCTCAGTGATAACATCAGTGAGGGGAAAGAGAAAACTGCAGAATCTCATTTTTCACATGAGTAGGCATGAGAAAAACTGACATGAAAGGACAACATTATGCAAGAACCTCTTAAAGAATATAGCTATTAAGAATAATATGCCTAAGAGACTAAGAACTGTTAGTGTTAATTAAAATGAGGTTCAATATATGAAAAATTAGAATTCCAAAAGGGCCTTCATCACACCATGACTTATTATAAAACAAAGACATTCTTTCCTATGGAAGACTCACAAGTTGAAGGAATTCTCATTTCAAGGGCCTGTGGGTAAAAGAAGTTACTTTCTACCAAATGTGCCTTGGGAATTTGAAGACAGAAAAATAATTCTTTTTTTCCTAATGAGGATGAATAGAGATCGTGTTAGTCAATTCTGCATGGGTTGGTTTTACACCCTTCCTTAAGCCTAACTCTAGCAAGAGGCACATGCTAGCATGTGTCTTTCTTATTCTAGGAAAACATACGAGGCCACTGTTAATGGGACAGGCATATGTTCTAAAAAGATTTTCATCAGTGGTGCCAGGTTGGCAGCAAGACAGACTCTACATTTTAGCAAGAGTATGGCCAGGGGCACATGACGATAGACTGCCTCCAGGACCCCCTTGTGGCCAGGGAGGGGGCAAAATTCAATATCCCATAAAAGAATTGAAATCCGAGGCCTGACCAGTCAGCTCAACTGCTCTTGGAGTTCCACAGGCAGAATATATATATATATATACATTTTTTTAAACTGGTTCTATAAAAACACACACTGCATGGTGGCTTCTCTGTTCACATGAGCATCTCTCCCTTCAACTCTGAGTCCAAAAGCGAGGGCCCTGTGACAAGCATCCTTGCCTCCTTCACACTCACTCCCTGACTGACCCAAATAGTAACTCTCTGAATGTTGTTGAAACAAAGCAGGAATTACTCCGCAAAGCCCTGATCCTTTATTTTTTTTAAAAAATGTGGTATTTATAGTACTGGACTCAGAGCTTTTAAATCCTTGTAGAGTCTTCCTATGACATTTGTCCTAACTCAGACCTTCTCTAAAATATTGTGATCGATCAGGAGTCATGAAAAATGAGAGGAACACAGAAAAGTGGCCAAGAGACGAAGCAAGATTGCTGACAGGATTGAGAGATGGGTGCCGGGGAAGATCAATGGGAGGATGGACGGAGATGAGGACAGCGGGGAGAGGCAGGGGAAGGGGGGGGTCTACAACTCAACAGGCCCTGCCTGCATGTGGGGAGAAAGAGTCTTGTTTTGGGGGCCTTGGTCTGGAGCCTGTATGTTGGCACCAGTGCACCCACACCCTCCAGTGGATTTCAGCATCCTGTCTCAAGGAAGTGCCTCACTGGGTCGCCCTTGCCCTGAGTCCCAGACTCACCTGTGACACCGGGGCAGGTGGGCTCTGCAAGATGGTCTGAGGCAGGAGCTGCTGTGTGAGGTCACAGGACGCCGGGGCCGGCAGGGGGGCCTGGGGGAGAGAGAGAGAGGGTGGCTTTGATACATATAAGCTTCTTGGGGTTATTACAGAAGTGATAGGGCGCCGTCTCTCAGCCAGCTGGGCTCTCTGGCTTCAAGGAGGCCCTTGAAGTGGATCTAGGATCTAGGATTGGCCCTAGAGTGGATCGCTCACTTCTGGAAGGTATATGTTCCCCTGAAAAGGTGGGGTCACAGGCTATTACCCTTGCAGGGAATGGAGTCAGAGCTGACACACAGCTGGTAATGGGTGGGGGTCCTGGGACCACTCAGGCCCGACGTTCCCACCATGGTGTTTTCTGCAGAATCACCACCACCAGCTGGAGCTGGGCATTGTCACGCCACCCTCCCTCCCCTCCTGTTCTTGGCTCCATTTTTGGTGGATTTGGTTGGTCTTTTCCTAAACTGACACTTTCTCAGTGGTGCTGTACAGCAGAAAGAATGGGAACTCATAACCAGTGTTGGCTCTGGGTGGCCTTTCGGCTCAACACTCACACTAACGTGGACAGATGCACCGGCACACTATCACTGCCTTGCCCAGGCACTGTTTGTGGCTGCATTTTCACCGGACACTGCTGGAATCTGGTGGAGCGAGTCCTGCAAGGTCAGCTGAATCCCAGAACTTGTGGGCAGGGGGCTGTGGGGGGATGGACTAGAATTGGGGGAGAACAATGTGTAGAAACAAGAAACGCAACCCTCAGCTTCATGAAGCTCTTGAGAATTTTTAAAAGTAAAAAATTCTTTTGAAGCTATTCCATCATTGCCCCAGGCCCTGGGGGCTATGAAAAGCAAGTCCAATGGTAGGTTGCCCCCCAGGACAGCACTGGGGGCAGAGCAGCTTGTTTTGAATGAGAGTCCTAGGGGCTGGTTCCGATTCTCCCAATTTTGTTCCATTGCTCAACTGGGTGGAGGAACCCTGCCACCCGAAGCTGTTAGAAGACCAGTTTGCTAGAGTGGCTAGAAAGCCAGGTTTGGAACTGGATGACCTGAGTTCAAACAGCTCTTCTGTCCACCTCTCTGAGTTTCAGCTTCCTCATCTATCACTGTTTCTAGCTGTGGCTCATTTCTAGAGTCTCTGCCACCACCTGGTACTCTCTTTGATGTGTTAACTCACTCACTTCTCAAGCTAGAAGGTATTATGATTATTCCCAAACCTAGACACAGGTTAGTTAACTTATTGAGAGCCACACAGTTAATAAATAGATGAAGTGAGTGATATTTGAAGCAGGTGGCATGAGTCCAAGCCTTTTTGCTTCACTATGCGTACTGCATTTTCAGTATTCCTGAACAAGTGGAAAATTTGAGGAGCACTTTAGAAGAAACGTTTGTTGTTGTTTAGTTGCGATGTTGTTTCTTTTTTGTGACCCCATGGACTTTAGTCAGCCAGGCTCCTCTGTCCATGGGATTTAACAGGATAGAACCCTGGAGTGGGTAGCCATTCCCTCTTCCAGGGGATCTTCCCAGTCCAGGGATTGAACCTGTGTCTCCTGCATTGGCAGGTGGGTTCTTTACCACTGACCACCTGGGAAGCCCATGAAGAAAGATTTAGAGGTGTTCAAGAAAAGAGGTGGTCTCCAGGGACCAGGAGCTCAGACGGTAAGACTCTCACGTTTTTTGGCCCCTTATGCATGCTCAGTTGCTCAGTCGTGTCTGACTCTTTGTGACCCCATGGGCTGTAGCCTGCCAGGCTCCTCTGTCCATGGGATTTCCCAGGCAAGAATATTAGAGTGGGTTGCTATGCCCTCTTCCAGGGGACCTTCCCAACCCAGGGATTGAGCTTGGGTCTCCTGTGACTCCTGCATTGCAAGGGGATTCTTTACTGCTGAGCCACTGGGAAAGCCCAGTGACTTCACTCCCATCTCCAAAATGTCAGCCAGGGATGGGAAGAAGGTACTTGGCAACTATCTGAATGTGAGCCCTAAATTTGGGGACACTTCCCCCCTCAAAAGCAAGGTCTGTGTCCCACTCCATGGGTGAGCTTGTGACTACTCTGACCGAGCGGGATGGTGGAGGTAATGTATTGGGACTTGAAGGGGAGGGCACGGAAGGCCAGGTGGCTTGTGTTTGGCTCTCGTGGGCGGTCCTTCTCCAGAGTCTTTGTCTTGGAACCCGGAGCCTTGCTGGGAGGATGGCATGGAGACGCCCATGCAGGTCAACAGAAGATGCTCTTGGCTGAGCCCACCTTCAGCTGGGGAGGCACAGGCCAGGGATGTGGACCTTCCAGCCCTGAATGGGGAGCCCTCCAACACCAGGCAGTAGAGAGGAGTCACCCCCACTGTGCCCTTTCTGAACTTCTGACTCAGAATCCGTGAACATGGAAAATCCTGGTAGCTTCATGCCACTGAGTGTGGTGTGGTTGGCAGCTTGTGATGGATCACTGGAGTATGGTAGGTACATCAGTGACTCTGCATCCAGCCAGTGTGCTTTCTAGGAGGCCACGTTCCCTGACATCATGGAGTGGTTGTTCTTCAGTCACTCACTCATGTCTGACTGGGACTCCTGGCCTGCAGCACACCCTGTCCTTCACCATCTCCGGAAGCTTGCTCAAACTCACGTCCATTGAGTCAGTGATGCCATCCAGCCATCTCATCCTCTGCTTCTCCTCTTGCCCTCAATCTTTCCCAGCATCAGGGTCTTTTCCAATGAGTCCTGGAGAGGCCTGGCATGTATGAAGGATGCTGCCTGATTCTGGGTTGACCAATAAGTTCACTTGGCTTTTACATAAGATGAAATGGAAGAACCCAAACAAACTTTTTGGGCAGCCCAATATATGCCAAGGGACATTTTTGTTGACATCAAGCTTCTTAGACACCTTCACTGGGAATAGGGGTCCAAAATGGGAGGGTCCTGATCATGTACCCCCAGAGGTTCTGGGGATGGGACCCCCCCAGGCTTGAAGTTTCAAGCTTTAAAACTCCTTTGGATTTTGCAATCTGTGGATATACATCCATGTTAATTTTGGGATCAGAGTGTTTCAAATTAGTTGCCAATTAAGCTACTTAGCTTCCCACCCCCGCCCGCCACCCACAGTCTCTAAGTAGAGCGTGTTCTCTAGGAAGATGCCGCCTGCAGTCCCGTGGCCGGGCAGGCCCCTGCAGTGCTGTAGCACAGTCTAGGGGGACGGTTTGGGGTCACACACATACCGGCATCGCGGCTGCCTGGCTGAGTCCTGGCACTGGGAGCTCTTGGGCCGATCTGGGCAAAGCCGGGGTGCTGGCCTCTGCCCTCAGCTTGCTTGGAGTGGCTGCAAGAAAACATGGCACCTTGCAGACTTGCACACACTTAACAGCTGTCTTATCAAAAGAGGGAGAGAGAACTTCCTTCGTGGTCCAGTGGTTAAGAATCCTGCCAAGGCAAGGGACACAAGTTCCATCCCTGGTGTGGGACGATTCCACAGGCTGCGGGGCAACGATACCCGTGCACCACAATCACTGGGCCCACGGCTGAAGCCTGAGAGCCCTAGAGCCCGTGCTCTGCAACAAGAGAAGCCTCCACAATGAGCAGCCCGCGCACCGCAACTGGAGAGGACTCTCCGCTGGCTGCAACTAGAGAAAGCCTGCACACAACAGTGAAGACCCAGCACAGCCATAAATAAATAAATAGATAAAAATTTTAAAACGAGGGGGAGGGTGACCACGGTGTGCATGAAACATGGACCTGCTTGGAATCTGATGAAGGAAGCCTAGCAGCAGTGGGGGTGGTTCCGAGAGGCCCGGAAGTTCTGCCAGCCTCCAGCCTCGCCTGGGGAACCGGGGGATGGCAGCGGAGCACCCACAAGCTTTAGGTGCGCCGCGTGGTTCAGCCGCCTGCCTGATCACACGGCTCCCCAGGTCTGCAGGACACCTGCCGTATGTCGGCCTCGTGGGGCCGCAGAGGAACCAGAGCATGCAGCAGGCTGGGGTGGGGCGGGGGGAGGAAGCTGGAGGGAAAGAAAGCAAGGAGTGGGGACCAGATGGCGACTTCAGCTTCATGCCACGGACTGCCCTGCTTCTCCTTGAATGTGGGGCCCCTCTGGGACTCTGTGTATACTCCCAGCCGCCCTGCCCTCTGCAGAGTCTCACTTACAGGTGGGCTCTGACATGGCTGTGCGCGAGGATTTGTGGGAACTTCGTGAGGAGGCCGATGGTGAGTGACTGGTGTTAAGGCCTGAGGTGCCCAGGTCAAGTGCATTAAAGTGCTGCTGAGGTTCCAGGCTGGAGCCCTTGTCCTGAAACACACACACACACCCAGAGTCCGTGTTTCAGCATCAGACCATGGCAATGAGCTATGTTATTTTAGTTGTCCTCTAAATACGTAGGAAAGCTTGAAGGATGCTGAGAAAAATACTATAGCTGCTTGGAGAGAATTCCAAACTCATTCAGGAGGCCTACTTATACAAATATATAATCTAGCATCTTTGAGGGCCTGGTAGCTCCCCTGGTGGCTCAGATGGTAAAGAATCCGTCTGCAATGTGGAAGGCCTGGGTTCAAACCCTGGGTTGGGAAGATCCCCTGGAAGAGGTCATGGCAACCCACTCCAGTATTCTTGCCTGGAGAATCCCATGGGCGGAGGAGCCTGGTGGGCTACAGTCCATGGGGTTGCAAAGAGTAGGAGATGACTGAGCAACTGAGTTTCAGGTTTTTTTCAGCCTGTAAGCAGTGTTTATTACACTTTCTTGCCTTCTATTTTGATATTTTAGATTTTCATAGTTAACCTGGCATTTTGTTTTTCCTTAAAATTGTCACCTCATGCCCAGAATTTCGGAGCAGGCAATGGCAACCCACTCCAGTCCTCTTGCCTGGAAAATCCCATGGACGGAGGAGCCTTGTAGGCTGCAGTCCATGGGGTTGCTAAGAGTCGGGTATGACTGAGCGACTTCACTTTCACTTTTCACTTTCATACATTGGAGAAGGAAATGGCAACCCGCTCCAGTGTTCTTGCCTGGAGAATTCCAGGGACAGGGGAGCCTGGTGGGCTGCCGTCTATGGGGTCGCACAAAGTCAGACGCGACTGAAGTGACTTAGCAGCAGCAGCAGCAGCCCAGAATCTTGGCTTTCTCTGAAGGCGGGTGGAGAGACTGATTCTAGAAATAAGGTTGCTGGTGCGACTGGGTTATTCATACTCCAATGAGGGACTTCCCTGGACATCCAGTTAGGACTTCACCCTCCAATGCAATGCAGGGGCGCAGGTTCAATCCCTGCTCACACGCCTCGCGAGCTAGAATACCACATGCCTCCCAGTCAAAAACCAAACATAAAACCGAAACAATACTGTAACAAATTCATTAAAGACTTCAAAAATGGTCCACATTAAAAAAAAAATCTAAAAAAAGAAAAATATGCTGGGACTTCCCTGGTGGTCCAGTCGTTGAGAATCTGCCTTCCAATGCAGGGGACATGGGTTCCATCCCTTGTTGGGGAATTAAGATCCCACATACTTTGGGGCAACTAAGCCTGTGCACCCCAATTAAGAGAGAGAAGCCTGAGCTCTGCAACTAGAGAAGCCTGCAATAAAGATCCCACAACGAAGGTACTACAACCAAGACCTGATGCAGCCAAAGAAACAAATATCTAAAAAATAAAAAAATAAATACTCCAATCAGACAGATGCCTTTGGACCATTCTGGACACCATCTCCCCACTGGTCTTCCTCTGCAGTCTCAAGGCACCCGAGTGCAGAACAGGCCGAGGGGCAAGGGTCTCCAATTCTTGACCCCGGGATCCTAACTGTCGCTGGGCCCCCAGGGGGCCTCTGCCTCAAGAGCATGGCACGAAGAGAAAGCAGCTGTGACTTTCCAGCCCTGAGGACCCACCTTGCCACCCTGCATTGGCTCAGGTGTCACGCGTGCATGCGTGCTAAGTCGCTTCAGTCATGTTCGACTCTTTGCGACCCCGTGGACTGTAGCCCGCCAAGCGCCTCTGTCTGTGGGATTTTCCAGGCAAGAATACTGGAGAGGATTGCTCTGCCCTCCTCCAGGGGGTCTTCCCGGCCCAGGGGTTGAACCCACATCTCCTGTGCTGGTAGGTGGGTTCTTTATCACAGGTGCCACCTGGCTCATCAGCCTAAGAAGATGACTCTAGTGATTTGTAAGCTAAAGAAGAAACATAATGATTACTCTCCTGAGCTGGGCTCCTTCCTATTCTCAGAAGGATGGTGAGATTCCTGGGTTGCTTGGACAGGCCGGTGTCCCTGGCCTCAGGTCTTAAATCCCTGTGTCTGAGTCTATATGACAGTCCTGTCCTTTGAGTTGGGCCTCCAGTGAGGGTGGAGGCCCTTAGTGTGCCCAAACAGGCCTGAAATGATTGCTACCAGCCACAAAGGCCTTTGTGCAAAATGGAATCGCAGGGTGTGTCTGGGTTTGCTGGGTTCAGTGTCTGTTTTCAGACCCTACTGCTTGGTCACAGTGTGCGTGCGAGCTAAGTCGCTTCAGCTGTGTCTGACTCTTTGTGACCCAATAGACTGTAGCCCACCAGACTCCTCTGTCCATGGGATTCTCCAGGCAAGAAGTTGTTGTTCAGTCGCCCAGTTGTGTCCGACTCTTTGCAACCCCATGGACTGCACATGCCAGGCTTCCCTGACCCTCACCATCTCCTGGGGTTTTCCCAAGCTCATGTCCATTGCATCAATGATGCCATCCCCATTGCATCCTCTGACACTTTCTTCTCCTTCTGCCCTCAATATTTCCTAGCATCAGGGTCTTTCCCAATGAGTCAGTTCTTTGCATCAGGTGACCAAAATACTGGAGTTTCAGCTTCAGCATCAGGCCTTTCAATGCTTATTCAGGGTTGATTTCCTTTAAGATTGCCTTATTTGATCTCTTTGCTGTCAAAGGGACTCTCAAGAGTCTTCTCTAGTGCCATAGTTCAAAGGCATCAATTCTTTGGTGCTCTGCCTTCTTTACAGTCCAGCTCTCACAACCTATGTAACCACTGGGTCTTACGTGACCAAGCAAGAAGAGTGCTTTTCCCCAAATCCCACCTTTTAGAGTGGGGTCCAGGAGAATTCTGTGTGCCCGGTCGGCAGACAAGTAAGTGCAGGAAGTGAGAGGAAGAGCTGAGAAACTTTTCTAGGCATCTGCCGTATATCACACCCAAGCATTGGAATCTGCATTTTATAGAGCATCCATCAGTGACGGATTTGAAATTAAAAATGCAAATGGTCCATTACTGCTGAGAGTTTGAAAAGCATGGTCTTGGAGCTGTGACTTTAAAAGGGACTTCTGAATCTGACAGCCTGAGAGTGTATTTGTGTTTGTTGTTCAGTTGCTCAGTCATGTCCAACTCTTTGTGACCCTGCAGACAGCAGCACACCAGGCTTCCCTGGCCTTCACCATCTCCTGGAGTTTGCTCCAACTCATGTCCACTGAGTTGATGATGCCATCCAACCATCTCATCCACTGCTGACTCCTTCTCCTCCTGCCTTCAATCCTCCCCAGCATCAGGGTCTTTTCCAATGAATCAGCTCTTCGCAGCAGGTGGCCAAAGTATTGGAGCTTCAGCATCAGTCCTTCCAATGAATATTCAGGGCTCATTTCCTTTAGGAGTGACTGGTTTGATTTTCTTGCTGTCCAAGGGACTCTCAAGAGTCCTCTGTGTGTTTACACACAAGTGCATGTTGATGAGAAGTTTCATTGGGCTTTAATATTCCCCAATGAAAGGAAACCTTAATAATGAATTTCCGACTGGATGACACAGTGTGCCTGATCTTCAGCTGTGTTGAACACCTGCCTATGAAGAACTTAATCCCAGCCTTGGACATGACATATGATGCATTCCTGTGACAGAGCTGGGTGATAAACACGTCCATGAACAATGACAGAGGTGTCGTACCACAGTGCTGGTGAGGAATCACCGCACAATGCAGCATCACTTTGCCTGTCAGTGGGAGAGGCTCAGCAAAGATGCAAATGCATTCTGGTCTCTAAAGGGGATCTCCTCCTCTTCCTAACTCAGTTCTTAATGGACCAGAGATGCATCTATGGTCCACTGACTGCAGTAAAGTGAGTATCACAATAAAGCAAATCACATTAATTTTGTTTGTTTGTTTCCGAGCGCATATAAAAGATAAACTGACCATTGCTGTTGTGTCAATTTCTGGCCAGAGACTCTAGATTCTAGGTCATGGGCAGGCTGGAACTTGAACTGTGTTTCATCAATTCTAAGATGAACTTCCCTCCCACATTTTGACATAAAATGAAATTGGGATACGTCCTTCAACTCACAATAAGAAATCCTGACTTCACAGACTGACAGCTTTCTCTCTTTCTTAGTGAAGATAGAGATAGATCTTACAATTGATGGCTTCTTAGCTTTGATGAAATACAACATTCCTTTTCTTGCTTTCTCTCTTTTTCCTCCCAACATGTGTGTCTGTTTGAAGAATGACCTTTGAGGAACAGGGTTCTGGTCTGCTTGTGAGTTTCTGTTGAGTTGTCAGAGATGAGGGCTGCCTGGCCAGACCGTGCCAGGGACTCAGGGTAGAGAGGAAAGAGCTCTGGGCTTTGTGACGAGAAACACCTCCCCTTGCCTCTCAGGGCTCCCTGATGCCAGGCTGGCTCCAACACAGGGGTCAGCTCAGACCCCCAGACACAGAAGCGGCAAGTACACCCCACCAGCGATACCATAGAGGGTGTGAGGGGCAATGAGCTTATAGGGTGCTTTTTTTGAGGGAAGGGTACAGCACTTAGGCTAAGGGGAGGACAGGATGCACAGACTGTGCCCCACCTCGATGGGATGATGCAATAACCCCCGCTTTTCATCTGTGGGAGATACAGAGTGGACTTACCTACAGGCAGACATTGTTTTATTGTGTTTCCCTTTATCACACTTCTTGGAGAGTGTGATTTTTTTACAAACTGAAGGTTTATGGTAATCCTGTCTTGTTAGATGCTGCTTACCGTTTTTTAGCAATAAAGTTTTTTAAAGTATGCCATTAAAAAAAAAAAACAATTGGGTTGCCCTGGTGGCTCAGACAGTAAAGAACCTGCCTGCAATGCGAGAGACCTGGGTTCGATCCCTGGGTTGGGAAGATGCCCTGGAGGAGGGCATGGGAACCCACTCCAGTATTGTTGCCTGGAGAATCCCGTGGACAGAGGAGCCTGGTGGGCTGCAGTCCATTGGGTCACAGAGTCAGACATGACTGAGGGACTAACACGTCCACTTGCACACTTAACAGACTACAGAATAGGGTCCACACATCGTTTATGTGCACAAGGAAACCAAAAAAGTAATGGGATTTGCTTTGTGGTGATGTTCACTTTACTGTGGTGGTCTGGAAGCTGCAGGATCTCCGAGGCTTGCCTGCACAGTCATTCTTCTGAGGCGGGAAGCTCCCCAAACCCTGCTTTGAGTCAGCAGGCTGCTTCCTTGCACAGCTCTGTGAGTTCCCAGCCTCCGTGACCTCAGAGACGTTATCTGCGTCCACGGTACGCTCAGCCTCACCTGAAGGACAGTGACCGTGCCCACCTCGCAGGAACCGCATGAGGGGCAAGTAAGCAAACACCCCCAAAATTACATTGAACAGTACTGGGAACATAGCAAGAGCTCAAGAAACATGACCTGCCCCTTCAGCATTACCATTCTTATGATGACAGCTCATGAAAGATTCTACTCAGTCGAACTTTGCCTTCCTCCTCTGCTGGGGATCAGATTACCTTCAGTGCCGAAGGGTGGACGGTCTCCAGCAGTGGGTCCTCCAGCGCCAATTCCTGCCTCCTCTCCACTCGGACCTCGGCGTAACTGCTCCGGAAATCAAGAGACCACAGCTGGAGCGGGGATGTCCCGGGATGACACCAGCAAAGAGGGCTGTGTGACACCCTCTCCCCGGGCAGCCACTAGCAAGCTTGGCCCAGTTACTTGTTTGGGGATGGGGTTTCCTTCTGGGCCTACACTCCACAGGAGTCACTTCTACTGTGACATTCAGAGTGACTTCCTTTCTGGGACTTCCCTGGTGATCCAGGGGCTGGGACTCCGCGCTTCCACTTCAGGGGGCCTGGGTTTGATCCCTGGTCAGGGAACTTCCCTGGTGGCTCAGAGGGTAAAGCGTCTGCCTACAATGCGGGAGACCCGGGTTCAATCCCTGGGATAAGAGGATCTCCTGGAGAAGGAAATGGCAACCCACTCCAGTATTCTTGCCTGGAAAATCCCATGGACAGATAAGCCTGGTAGGCTACAGTTCACGGGGTTGCAAAGAGCCAGACATGACTAAGTGACTTCACTTCAGGGAACTAAGGAGCTTCCCTGGCGGCTCAGACGGTAGAGAATCTGCCTGCAATGTGGGAGACATTAGTTCGATCCTTGGGTTCGGAAGATCCCCTGGAGAAGGGAATGGACCCCCCACAAGCTGTGGGGCACGGCCAAAGAAAAAAAAATCATAAAATTTTTTTTTAAACACATAAAAAACAACATTTTCCTTACCAGGATGTTGTTGTTGCCTACACTTTTTGTTGTTGTTGTTGTTCCTTTCTCTTTTTACTGATCTTGACCCATCCCACCCAGAAACCCCCTCACACAATTATCTTTAGAAACCTATTTTCTTTAATAGGATGAGCCTCAGCCTTCAAAAAATTAGAAGACTTTCTGGAGACCTACTCAGTTTGGACTATGCACTGGAGGAAGTGATACATCAACTTTTTTTTTTTAGTAATTACAGACTATGATTACAGACTATGAAACTTCCAGAAGTTTCCTTTCGACCAAACCTAGAACTAGCCAGACCCAGACAGCCAATTAGTCTATGGAGCCACTTTTTGAATGGCATGGGGAAATCAATTCAGAGTGGTGGCGGCCGAGTGACCCAGCTGTGGCTTTTGCCTTGACTATAGAGATGGGGGGATATGGGGCCCAGGGGAGAGGTGGTGGCTTCTGGGTCTCTGGGACACCTGTGACCTCATTTCTCTCTTGGTTGCTCCCTACCTTCTCTGAGAATCTCATTCTGGGATCTGAGAAGATGGGCCAGAAATCAGACTCTGAGAAGCAAGGTGCTGACGATGTTCAGTCTTACCTGGGGACAAAAGGACCCCCTGGCAAAGGTCCAGGCAGTGGGGGGGAGGTGTGCGGGGGGTGCTGGACATGGAATCAGAAAACACTGGCTGCTGACGTGCCCAGGGGTGGGCTGGGAAGTCATGGTCAGGTCCCTGGGGGTGGGCGTGTATGTGATGATCAGGGTCACTGGCCAAGAAATACCTGCATTTCTTATCCTTCCTCTTTCCTCACTTACTAAAGAGGAGGGATTTATACGTGTGTGAGTGTGTGTGTGTATTGGGTTGGCCAAAAAGCTCATTCAGGTTTTCGAGAGATCTTATGGAAAAAACAAAATGAACGTTTTGCCCAATCCAAATGATAAGCATGTGTGTATGGACAGTATCAATCCATCCATCTGTTATCTATCTATCAATCAACCAATCATCTATTGTCTATCAATCAGCTATCTATCTATCCATCTATCTATCATCTATTGATCTATTTACCTAACTACCCATTATCTGCTGACAATCATTCATTTCTTATGTACATGTACCTAACAATAGGTATGTATGATCTTTCATATATCTGTTATCTATCATCTGTCTGTTCTGTATTGATACATATATATAACGTGATCCTTCTAACCTTTCTTTCGTTGCTCTCCTCAAAAGCTCTCCTCTAGACCAGCTCAAAACTAATATATGTTCTTAAAATTTTTGTACTTGGGGAAGAAAACCCAAATGGCATTTCTCCTTTACCTTTGGAAACTGTGACACAGGCAGTGTCTAGGAAACACTGGATCTGCTTCCTCCCTTGGAAGCCCTGCCACGCACATGGGGCTGGGGTAGGTAACCTCTGCCTGAGGTCAGGGAACCACCAGGAATGCTCTATCAGCAGCCTGGCTCTTGTACCACCCTGCCTCGGTTGCCACCGGTAGTTTCTGAAGCATTCAAAAAACTGTGGGGGGGGGGGGGG